CCCCGGCTGACCACACTCCCCGCCCCAGCAATATTGTTGCCAATTGACATCACTGCCCATATTGTGGTTTAAGTGTTTTGACTCTGCCTGTTTCATTCACAGCTCTGGCTGCTACTGGGTGATGGCCAGCAATGACCCAGGAGCTTCTGCATTTTGGTTCAATCTAAATCCAGCAGGAAGTTTCCAAAGGACTAGTCTCATGGGGAGTAAAGATGAGGCCAGGAAGGAGAATAGGTCCCAACGTCCTCTCCTGCAGTTAGTGTATGCAAAGATATACTTAACCTCGTTCCAGAAGAGGCAGCAAGTCAACTCACAGAACAATTTAAAGGGCAGCTCCCAGTCTGCATCGACGCTCCAGCCACCTTCTCCCCTCCAACCCTCTGCAGTGCACCAGAATCCCTGATGAACTTCCCACGGAACAGAGTTTATTTCAACCTTTCCAACACTGTTGGGTAACTGACGCTAATTTCACAATTCCCGAAGATTCCGTGAAGGGCTGCTGAACAATACACAATCGTAACCCTTGGAGAACACTGAATCAGGCCTCCTCTGTTTTTTCCATGTGATATTTCCTTTTGTCACGGTACCCATTCTGATTTCTTGTAACAACATCACCAGCGGAGCCAGAGAGGAGCTTCCCCTGCAAGAACCTTCCCGAACTTTCGTTTCTGTTCTGTCTGCCTTTTTGACCGTAGGACTTAAACCATTCACCAGCTTGGTCTATGCAGTCCTGAAAGCCTTGAATTGTCCCTTAAAGCTCATACAGGGCATGGCCTGGCAGTGTTTATAGAGCAAATGCTTGTTTAGAAAGGGGAACAGAACAGGTTGAATGTTGTAAAGACAATTTCATGATTTTGAAACATTGTGATCATTATTTCCACTGACTTGAAACTTAGCAAATGTTTTTTGTTTAAAAAGTGGGGGGAGACATCGCTGTAGTGAAATTCCCAACTGACTAGCAATTTCAGGATAAATTTCTTCAGAAATAATGACCATTTTATATATATATTATATATATATACACGCACACACATTTTTCTTTGTGTCTCTATCTACATCTGTGTCTATGTCTACATCTATAAATAGATAAAATAGCAGCAAATGTTTAAATGCTATTTAGCAGGCTCTGTGTTCAGTTCTTCCCAGGTAAAATCTCACTGAATCATTTGAGAAAGGGACCATTTGTCACCCCATTGACAGACCAAGAAAACATTGCCTCCTCTAGTCTTAATTTATAAATCCACAAGGGTTCTCTGTCCCTTCCCAAGTACATCATGCTGAGGATTGTGACTTGCAAGGGATACAGGCCAGATTCAGGAAAAGAGTCCTCCACTAAGGAATTGGAAGAGAGTGAGCCTAAAAAGACATAATCCAAAAGGAGGCAGTGTCTGAGCCACAGGAGGAAAAATCACTTGCCTGCATATGTATTTTAAGCCTAATTCTGTCACTGAGCCGCTACATACCCTAGGGTTCAGCTTCGCAAATGAGAAAAAATTCACCGCCTTTTATTTCAAAGGTCCCCAGGGGATGCAAGGCCTGCTGAAGTTTCCAAATGATCGACACTGCCCGTCCTCACATCCACTGTCTTCTCTAGCACCTCATGTGGGCTCTGAGATAGGACTCAGAGGCAATTTTGAAGAGCCCATCAAAACCCCGGAAACCCTGGGGAAAAGAGGACACATGAAGGGCCCCTTTCCAGAATGTCACTTAAGACATGGAAGGTTTCTGCAGTCCCTGCCAGCCAAGTCACTTCAAGGCTTCCTGGGAATGAAATGTGAGAGAAGATAAACTTTGCTTTCATCTTTAAAAACATCAGAAAATAAATAACATCAAAACGCAGGCTGGAGGAGGGATGGCGTGCATACATAAATAATGGTGCATTAATCAGTTCCACTGGATGGCTCAAGCTCGCTAGACTTCATTTGGCGTAACAGTGGGGACACAGGGGTAGAGACGCACCCAGGATTCCAGCCAGAAAGAATCTCCATCCCTTTGCATCAAGTGGCAGCGCTTTCTTTCTTTCTCAGCCAAGAGGAAAGAGATGGAATTGATCAATTTCTCAGCCCCTCCACACCATGAGGCTCTAAGGAGGCCTCTTAGCTATCTCAGCCATTTTATAAGTGCCATAGCCAGGCCAATTAATTGAAATTATCTTATTCTAGAAAATCCATAAGGTGTTATGGATTCATGATCTGAATGGTATCTCCTTGGCTATTAACTTCTTAGGAAAACACACCACATCCACTAGAATGGCTATAATAAAAAATATGGATAATGACAAGTGTTGGTGAGGGTATGGAGAAATTGGAACGCTCATATATTGCTAGTGGGAATGTAAAATAGTGTAACTGCTTTGGAAAAAAGTCTGGCAGTTCCTCAAAAGGTTAAACACAGAGTTACCACATGACCCAACAATTCCACTGCTAGGTTTATACGTAAGAGAAATGAAAATATATGACTACACAAAAACTTGTATGTGAATGTTCCTAGCAGCCCTATTCTTAATAGTCAAAAAGTGGAAACAACTAAAATGTCCATCAACTGATAGATGGATAAACAAACTGTGTTCTATATCCACACAATTGAATATGACTTGGCAATAAAAAAGGAACGAGTACTGAGACACGCTAGAATATGGATGAATCTTGAAAACATTATGCTAAGTGAAAGCAGCCAGACACAAAAGGCCATATATTGACGATTCCATTTATGGCTGGAATAGGCAAATCCATAGATAGAAAGCAGACGGGTGGGTGCCAGGTCTGGGGTGCGGGGGCAGGGGGGGGGCGGCGGAGGAAACAGGAAGTGACTGCTAATTGATACAGGGTTTCTTTTTGGAGCGATGACAATGTTCTGGAATTAGATGATGGTGATGGTTGCATAACCTTGTGAATATACTTAAAAAAAAATCACAAACACACACAAAAGAAATTCTCAGGAAGAAGAAAACTAACATTTATTGAGTATAGTCTACCAGAGCTGAGCTAAGCTCCTAGAGCCCTCATGGTGAGACCATGAGGCTGGTGATAGCCAGTTTTACAATTGAGGAAATGAAGGTCCAGTCAGAATCCATGACCTGCCCAACATCTCTCAGCTCTCAGAAACAAACCAAGCCAATTCCATCCCAATCCACCATCCATCATCTTTCTCCTGTTCTGCGTAAGGCTGCAGTCTCATCTTTTCAGTCTATTTCCCAGTCACGTGACCCTCAGGAACCTCAAGCCAAGCCTCAAGTTCCTGATCTGCAATAGCAGAGCCCTCTGCACCCCACCCTTCTAGAGCCTCAATTATACAGTACAAGCCAGCAGCCCAACTCTTTGTTTCCAGAATGGTGGTGGAGTCCCCAATCCACAGCTGTTCAAGTCTGCCAGATGTTTTACTGTAACTGCACGTTTTCGTTCCCTGTGTGTGGGATCAAGGAACTTCCCATAAGATCTGGTGGAGGCAAGATCCCTGACGTCAGGAAGGATGGAGAGGCCGAGCTGTGGATACGGGCGCCCTGTCCCAAGGGAATCCACTGAGCTCTTCTGGAAGCCCTACCTCTCTACCCTGCTCCTCTGTCTTCCCCATCCTGCCTGAGGCCCCCAGGAGCTGGACTGAGAGGTAGCCTCTTGCACCCGCCCTTCCCACTCGGAGACAGCAGGGCCAGGCACTATCCCTTCTCCACCAAGACTCCTGCGACTCTCGGTTCTTAGCAAATGAACTGATCTCGTGTCTCAATAACAATCACATTGTGGTTCAACTAATTGCCATTGCTTTCCTTAGGTCTAGGGGTGAAAGAAAGGCTCCAGGATTCTTATCAAGCCCTGCCTGTGTCTGTTTAATTGGGGCTGGTCTCAAAATAGAAGTATTTCCTATCCTTCTCATGGACCGTATCCTGCCTTCTTTCCCTTGATGACAAATCTCACAAAATAATTCTAAAAGGGCCAACAGCTAGCATAGGATTATAATCTACATTGTCTAATAAAAAGCCATAAACTACCCCTTTAGTCTCCAAAGTATAGAGAACATGCATCATTGGATCTTCAGAGAAGAACTGGCACGGACGTGGAGCCCTGCTTTAAACACAGCTGCAGCACCAGCAAGTCCTTCCTCCAACCTGGCCGAGGGGATCCCACTCGTGGAAACGCCCGGAGGGCTGCAGGACCAGCATCCTCCACCATAGGTTGAAGGCTGCTTTCACACGTCTTGTAATCCCACTCTTTTGTGGGATTATAACCCTGTGCTACTGATAAGAAATGGTAGCACAGGATGTCGACAAATGCAGAACCAGGACTGCAGGCCACTCTCCTGATGCCTAGGGAGACCCTTGTTCCACCACTGAAGGTGTCAAACACAACGAAGCCCTGTGATGGCACCTTGTAACCAATGGCCACGTGAGGCTCTGAGAGCATGGCTGAAATTTGGGAGAAACCACGCTGTTTCTTCTGCCTTTCCTGGTGCTGAGGCTAGCAAGCAGATGTAATGAAACCTTAAGTGTCACAGATTTGCACTTGCTAACAGGCAAAATGCCATTTCCCTCCCCAAATTCTTGGAGGCATAGAAATAAGTAAAATTACTTTAAACGTGTGCACGCTGTCTTGTTGAAATTTTGAAGGAAAGTCTACTCTGTACATCACAAGAAAGTCAGCCTAAAAGGTTTCAAGGTCCCCAGTGTCCAGATCTTCTGAACATCTCCCCTCAGGACCCCTCATCCTTAGAACACTGCCCCATTCCCAAAGCTCTCTCCCACGCCATTCCTCATTTGCTCCTCTGGGAGCAGCTAGGACCCAGAAAGGAGACAGACTCCCCTGGGGCCCAGGAAGGAACTGAACCAGGGCTTGAACCAACCTCTTCTGATTTTCCATTGGATCCACCTGTCCCCGGGACTGCTGGTCCCGGCCAACCCCTCTGGCAAGTGACCTGTTTGTAGCAAACAACAAACCTTCCTTTTGTGCCATCACACCAGACAGCACTGAGTCAACACCTCGGAGTACATGAAACCATTTGGTAAGACACGATTATTAAAAAAATAAGCTGCATGACATTTATTTTGTCTTGTTAACATTAATATCTGTAGAAACATTTTTATTGTCAGTATAAAAATTAACAGGTTTTATTAAATACTTTCTCCAATTTCGTAACACGTAAAATCAGTGTAATCTGCATTCATGTTGCATGGCTATAACAAAGTGAATAGGTGTTCCGAAAGCAAAACACAATACTTTAATACAGAACGGACAACATGACGACATTTTGTCTGACGTTGGTATTAAGCCAGATCTTTTGGTGAGGTCCTGCCAGAATCAGACGGAAGCAATCCCTTAAAAAGATGGAAGGATCCCCAAAACTATCAGCAGAACAACTCAGTGTTTCAATTTTCTATGATGAGACGTGAAGATCCTAAAAGGCTCCTCTATTGCCAACGAATCTGGAAGCCATTATCAAAATTCAATGAAGAGAATACAGGCTAATCTGATTAATGTTCAACTCAGAGGCAGAAGGCCAGCTGCCAGAGAGAAGTACATTCTGCTATCATCTCAACTAAGGTCCATCCTCAAGGAATGGATTAAGGCATCTTTTTAAGAGGATGCTGGTACCATTTGTCTTGGAGAGTCCAGTTAACTGTTACATGGGCCCAATGACAGAGCTATGCATTCAAACAAAACACCTTCTTATAAATGGGTTCTTCAAATATGGGCATTTACGGGTTTTAAGAAGAATTATCTGACAGCAGAGTTTAAACACAAATATATCAAAATTTCCTTTAACCAAATTAGTCATATCCTGTAAATATTTCTCTTTTCAATGGATCTGACAACTAGTTAAGTCCGAGCAATAGATTAACTAGTCTGATGCACTGCCTGCATAGAAATGCCACTTAAATTACAAAAAAAAAAACTATAAATGATTAATTGTTTTGTATATTACCAATTCATTAATAAATTAATGTTATACCATTTTCCCTGAAAGCAAAAGTATTTTTCCACCTCTGCTTGGTGAAAATTAAGAGATTCTGTGTAAGAACAGCATTTAGCAAATAGCTATTAAAAAAAGAGAGACCAATTTTCTAGGTGCATTGAGACATCCATTAAAATCAATACAAAAAATAATTCCTCGTAAATATATAATATATATTTATACATAATTTGAATATATTTACATACATCCAGCACCTATATACTGCAATTGTGCTCTGTAAGTGTGTGCTGACATATATTTTCTCCAATTATTACAAAATTCACAAGAAAGGCAGAACATATGTTCGCCTTGAGTCCGGCTGGTCCACAGCCAGTACCCACAGGGGGTCACGGGCACGTGGTGGCCCATGGAAGTCCATTGCCCCAGAAACATTCTTCTTCTCCTGGTGAAGATTACAAGTTTCCAACTGTATAAATTCTTTACATGTGTGCCGATTACTTTTCCAATTATTTACTCCTCTGATCCATATATACAAGCGGAGACATCCATATATACAAGGAGGCATGCCTCCTTGCTCAGTGTAGCTAGGTTCCTGGTGCTGTCCTATCTGGGGACAGGCAGACAAGCGCATTCATGTTTTAACACTGCCGTTTATATGTGGATACTGAGGAAGGCATGGGTCGTAACACAAGAAAACAGAATCATCTCCTGAAGAACATGAACTCCTTGTGTCAGGGTAACTAGGAGAATACTGTTCGAGAGGCTGACTGAGGTCCAAGTATTCCTGAAAGAAGGGAAGAGAGACGTTTTATTTCATCTTGGGTCAGGATAACAAGGTGAATACGGTTCGAGAGGCTGACTGAGGTCCAAGTATTCCTGAAAGAAGGGAAGAGAAGACTTTTATTTCAAACACAGGCTCTTGAGATGTTGATTTTGGAGTTGGGATGGCACGGGGGAACCCCTTCAAGGTTCAGAGACCCAGCCCACCCCGGCTCCCACAAAGACCTCCTTGAGATTCCAACTCTATTAACTCGAGGCTGCCCTTAAGTTTTCTTTCACAACCCATCACGAACAAATGACTGGCAGGTAGGGAATGCTAAAACCTAGGTGGACAGTAGGTGCTGGGTGGTCAACTCCACTTGCACAAATGACCTGCTTGCTATGCGCCTTCTCACTAGAGCACAGGGTTCCAATCTGAGCCCCAGCAAAAGAAAAAAACCTAACGTGTTGTGAATTCCCAAGACCCCTTTAAATAACTGAGACCACGAATATTTGTTTTACGAATGACATTTGACTATTGTAGTTTCCAGGATAATTTAAGGGGAATACGTCTTCATTCAGCAGGTAATTTCACAAATGTGATTCATTACTCTCAGAAGCTCTCTGAGTTGAAAATATAAACAAGGTTCAAAAAAGGCTTGGATGTGCTCGTGTATGTTAAATCCATAATGGGCTGTTAAAGAAAAGTCTAGGAAAAGAGAGGTTAAGTTTCAAAGTTTTGAAAGTTTGAAATTCAAAAAGGGCTATTCTGCTTCCTAAAGCATCTGTTGGTGTTGCTGTCAGAGAAGAGACGGCCCATTTCCATCCATTTCCTCAGACTTATGACAGGGCAAGAACCCACTGCCTGTTCTTGTATGGCCCAGGAGCTAAGAATGGTTTTTGGTTTTTTGTTTGTTTTGTTTGTTTTTTGTGAGGAAGATTGTCACTCAGCTAACAGCTGTGCCAATCTTCCTCCATTTTATGTGGGATGCCACCACAGTGTGGCTTGACGAGCAGTGCTAGGTCTGCACCCGAGATTGGAACCAGCGAACCCCAGGCCACCCACATGGCGTGCATGAACTTAAACACTATGCCACCGGGCCAGCCCCTAAGAATGGTTTTTAACATTTTTAAATGGTCGGAAAAAAATCTAAGGAAGAATAATATCTCATGGCATTAAAATTATATAAAATTTACATAAAATTAAAATTTTAGGGTCCATCAAGTTTTATCCAGAACACAGACATAGTCATTCGCATGCTATCTGTGGCTGCTTTCTGACCTAACGGCAGAGTTGAGTTGTTGCAACAGAAACAGGATGGCCCGCAAAGCTAAATATTTACTGACTGGTCCTTTACGCAAAAGGTTTGCAGACCCCTGCTCTGAAATGATGCAACGTTTCTAAACGGGGGGACTTCTGAGTCTCAATGGTTCGACTGAGCTGGCACACTGGGGCAGCCTTGCTCACAGGCCCAGAAGCCAATAACTATTCTATGACACGTGGTTTTGCTGAGAGGGGCCAAAAACTGCAGACCACAGCACAACCAGCCTCAGCGTTATCAGAAAAGAGCCCACAGAACGTTGGCAAGTATACATTTTAAAAGACAGAAAAAAAAAAAAAAACCCCACTATAATTCATCACCAGGGTTGGCAAGAGAAAGAGTCCCTACCCGAGAATGGGGGATGTGTCAGTTTCAACAACATCGGCATTAACCACACAACTGGAGACAAACACGCCCACCACATCAAAAGAGAACTTTTTGCTTACAATGATAAAAATGAAATTTTGTCCTAAATGGAACCATTTTTCTCGAGCATATGGTAATGATTTTCAGAAGGAAAGAAACTTCGATTTTTATATCCGTTAGACAATATGGCATTCTGCTTTTTCATTTTAGGATACTGGATGTAAATTTCAGTCTGAACGGGCGCACTTTAAATGTAAATATATAAATAAATAGCAGCGAGCACAGACAGAGGATCATTAAAATGGGACTTTAGTGCTTTTCCCAGTTCCTAAACGAAGCCATAAATGTTCAGATCTGATAGGGAAAAAGTAGGGATGTCAGTGAATTCCAAGTCTAGGGTTAAAAGAACTTATACTGGAAACAACAATTTTGGCAGGAGAAGAAAGTTGTTTTTTTTCCCTTAAACTGTTCCTTTTCCTTTCAACTTCTGAAGGTCAGCTGTATTCATTTAAATGCGATTGCTCCCTTATCAGCCGCAGTCAGACGCACAAGATCATGTTGCTGGCTGAAGGCTTCACATCCCAGCATTTCACTATTTTTTTTAAAAAATCACTCTAAAAACTATTAAATGTATTATCTAAAAATAAATGCATTACTTTCCTTCTAGAATATTTGGGTGTTTTTAACCTTTTTTGTTGTTGTTAAGACAATTGTGGGGTTTTTTTTCTGTTTGAAGGAACGCTGCACTGCAACTTCATTAAATATCACAAATTCATTCACTAACAGTTTCTCTCTATCGTGGGTTTTTTCTGGCCTTGATGGGTTTATCACCTCTCCTGCTCAGATCAGACTCTTTCCATGACCACAGAGACCACTCTGTCTGCATCTTAAAGTGAATTCGGAAAGTGAGTGACAGAGAGTGTTTCTTTGGTTGGTATAGATTATAAACATTTTATAGAAAATAAGCATTTTAACGAAAAGTACAGGTTTTCACTTGAAAATCATATAAGTCATTCATTATAGGAAACTGTGTGTACGTTTACATACACACAGATGGAGACCACAAGCCACACGCCATTACCAGACAGGCCCACGTATGACTGTGTTCTGTGTTATCGGAAGCTAGAACTGGAGAACTTCACAGCATGCAAACCAGCCCATCAGCTACGGGACACTAGCAGCTCTCACACTGACAACCAGGCCCACAAGCCCACCAGCACGTAAACCCAAGCTCCTCCCGAGGCAAACCCAAACGCTGCAGTTGGACAATTCTTTCCTCTCCCCACACTCCCCCCCCCACACACACACCCTGGACCCGCCACCCAAAAGCCACAGTGAGGGGTGGCCTCAAGTAGGGCCCTCAGTCTTCGGTTTCATGAGTCAGAACTCTCAAAATACAGTTCTGAGAAAAATCAAGATTTGGGAGGAACACATAGTTTAACTCTGTCTGACCCCTGTGGAAAAATGATAAACTAGACCACAGACTCCAGCAGGGGAGGCTGCATTTACAAAGCCGCACTGGTCTCCCGAGCAAGGACCACGAGCTCCGGGAAGGAGGTCTTACCTCATTGGTCGTGAGAGTGAGAATTCGGTCCAAGTCTTCCACCAACTGCTTGAACGTCGGCCTCTGGGAGGGCACTGCATGCCAACAGTCCCTCATCATCATGTACCTGGAAGAAATGGATTCCCCCGGTGAGTAAGCCAGTTTTAACAGGCAATGTGGAGATACATCCTAAGTTACAAAAACGTATTAGAACTTTCCAAGCAACTAAATTAGGAGGTGGTTACTCACTTTCCCAAAAGATTCACTGCTTGGCTCCTCTGAAGGGCACTTTAATTTACAAATCACTTTACGCAAAATGTCTTAGGACGGTATCTATGCCACCAGGAAAGACACTTCTTTATGCTTTCCCTGATGACTTCTGGGAGCCCCTCAGCAGCGTCATTATCAAGTGGTATCACACTTTATGGCACTTTTGGATGCTGCACAAAGAGCCACATACGAGCAGGCAGGTCTCTGGTCTTCCCACACAGCCCAGCCTGGACCAGGGCAGCTCTATTTTTATCTGCCTGACACTTTGGGTTTTGTTTGAATGATTCCAGTGGACAAAGGTTCCTTAGTTTAAAAAAATGAAGTTTGAAAACCACAAGTTTAAGGTAAGGGAATGAATTAATCCTCCATCCCTGGGCAGCACATTAACTTCCTGATTAACTCTTGGATGGGTCCAGGTTCCCAGGCCTTATCTTGACAATGGGTTTCGACAGACCCTCTGTATTAGGAAAAGCAATAGGAATGACAAGGAACACAATAAATGCCTTTATATAATATACTATAAAATGTGGCCATTCATCAGAGGTCCACTGTACACCGAAAAGCACTCATGGGATTACTGCTATATAATCCCCATGAAGTGACACACAATAGACTGTAGTCTCCGGGACAATCACTCTCCTTAGTTAATCCTGGGGGGCTGGGAGGAGAGGCTCCTTTTCAAAGAACTGATTTTACTGCACAAGACGTGTGTCACAAACACAACATGATTCCACTTAAAGTGCGGGGTTGGTTTTTCTAGAAACCAGCTCATGGTTTTATAGGTAGATCTGGTGCTCTAAGGACGGCACCAGGACAAATTTTTAATCTCTGCGCTAAAATATGGGTAAAATATAGGGAACCAGACACTGACTCATTCACTCCGAGGAAATGTGGTTGAGGGCAATCTGTGACAGCAATTATCAATGGTCACAGAAGCTGCAGAAGCACCCACACTGCACTCGGTCTGCTGGAGCCAGGCACAACCAGTGAGGAAAGGCCATGGTGGTGCTTTAATCCTACACTCTGCGAGGGCAGCCCCCCGGCCTTCTAGCCTGCGGGTGAGGGAAGGCCAGAGGTGTCTTCCTGTTACTCCGAGGAGACAACAGCAAGGCACCACACAGTGGTCCAGGAAGACCACCCTGCTTGCTCTGCGACGTCGGAAGCCCTGGGCCGGGCAGCCCGACGTCCTCTGTGAGCCCTGCTCACACCATACACCTCAGAATGATCTCTCTTTTGGACAGTCATGGCTGTCAGTGCAGCTGTCTATCTCAGTTCTGTGATTGAGCCCTGAAAGTTTCAGCAATTCTTCTTAGAGCATGTTTGGAAGATCAGGGGCCTCAGAGAAGCGACAGAAGGCAGAAGCGTCCCCGGGGCGGTGGGTCTATTGCGGTATCAGGAGAGACAGCGGCCCTTACAGTTCGTTGGTGCAGTTTGCCGGCTTATCCATCCTGTGTCCTTCCTTAAGCAGCTTAAAAAGTTCCTCCACGGGAATCCCTGGGTAAGGCGAGCCCCCTAAAGTGAAGATCTCCCACATCAACACCCCGAAGGACCAGCTGCAAAGAAGGGAGAAAGCACAGCATCACTCACCCGTCTGAACCACGGAAACCTAAACAGACCCGGTTAAGAAAATAAACGCCCCCTCACTTCTTAGGTTCAAAGACAAATGAGCTGAGCTCTCCTGCAGGTCACCTACATGCCCCTTCCTGCCCCAGGGAGCATCCCCAAATGAGGACAAAGTGGGGATGTCCCGATGGAATTTTCTATCAACCGACAAAAAGGTAAACCATCATCACTCTTTTTCTCTTTTTGGTGGATTTGGGTGGTTGCTGTCTCTCCATCACTCTCAAAGTTGTTCATCTTAAATACAGTATTAGCAACATGAAGATCTCAACTCCTAAGCTTCAAAGCTCTTTATGTTCCTGTCCAACTCTTCCACTGGCCTACGTGCCTGACCCCAGCACTGTGAACGACCAGTATGGGCAGGGGACAGAATAAGGCCAGCAAGCTAACTCTGCGAGGTACAGCTGCCCAATGCCGCCAGTGGAGCATCTGAGGGCACAAAAGGTGAGTGACTCACTAAGGTCAAGAAGGGAATCAGCACCAGGCTGGGATCAGTCAGGATGGAGGAATTCTGTGTCCCAGACAGTTTCATACAACTATTATCCCTGACTTTGCAGAGACCCACAGGTGGACTTTCTGAGCCTCGTGCAGGAGACCCACAGTTCTTGGGATAGTCAAGCAGAGGATCCTGCACTGACCTATGTCGCTGTGGCTTTGGGAAAACGCCCTTCCTGACTCTATTAGGGCGAGTTTCAGAAATGAAACTGTCCCCACTTTTGTGCAGAGGAAAGGCAGCAGCATGCAGAGGAAGTTTGCTCGTTGCAAAAATGGGACTCATAACGCCTTCCTTCTAGGATTGCTGAAGAGGACCACTGAGAGAGCATGGAATCAATGCCCACCCTAGAAATCCTCCCGCTCATGCAAAGAAAAATAGCTCAACTGATTTCTTTTTTTTTTTTTAACTTTTTATTTTGGAATAATTATAGACACACAGGAACTTGCAAAAACAGTACAGAAATATCCTCTCTACCTTTTACCCAGCTTCCCACAGTGGTAACATCTTTCAACCAAATTTCTAAATCTAAAATTCTAAAATACCAGTTGAAGCCTGACCCTGAGAGTATTTTTATCTCTTTTATATAAGTATATCATTATGTAAATATTATATAGTTTTCACTGTATTTCTATAACGTTATCAAGGATGTTAGGACAAGGTCAGAATTTTTTCAACAAACAGAGCAAGCAGCCCCTGCGAGATCCTCTGAGCAGACCATGTCACACTCGCCCTCCCCCACGAGGACAAACCTGGGATGGGGGAAATAGGACTAAACCACCCTCTATTAGGGAAAGGTTCAGGATTCCTGTTTTAAGGGAGCAAAGAACATGCCAACAGCTTGGCAAAGTAGATAGGAGCTCTGTAGCTGTGTCTCGTGAATAAGTCCAAGAGGGGACTTCCGCTCTGGCAGGAGGAGGTTAGTGGTTCCACCTCCCGTGCGCTTTGAAGCCAGGCAGATTAGTAACAGAGCATTGGTTACCAGCCTACCATAAAATCCGTTCTTTCTAAGGCCGGCTCCTGAACCTTCTATGAATGTGTGAAATGCAGCAGGCACCAAAGAAGGAAGGAAGGGGAAGAACGTACAATATTTTTGGAACTCAACCCGATGGAGAAGCCAGAGACAAGGGAGTTACTTACACATCACTCTGATGGGTGTACACTCTATCAAAAAGGGCTTCTGGAGCCATCCACTTGACCGGAAGTCGCCCCTGCAAGTGTGGAAGAAATGCAAAAACCAATATATTAAAACCAGTTTACTTTAGCAGGCTCAACACGGTTGTGACCTGCTTGCTTATTTTATGAGCTGACACAAATGGTTTTCACTGGTCAGTCATTAGAGGAGAAATAAGCCCCAACTGAGACTCTACACAATGGGGGAGCACAGATCTGGGGACATTAATAAAATGCCATTTCCTTGGATTCTCATTATCATCCATCTCCCTAGCACACAGACACACTCCAACCAACTTCCAGGCAAAAGTTAACCCAGAAACTCCCAAGTTCTAATCCTTACTAGGAAAGTTCTGACAAAGAGTTTTATAAAGATCCTAGAGGCTGCTGATTATTCTATATGTAAGACTATTTCACATTTACTAAAAGTATCTCAAACATAGCCTAAATTTGCTTATTGAGAAGTTTGCACAGAACAAGGCAAAAGAACAGGAATGCAAGGCAGAGGAATGAGCCCTCATCAGTCCTTCCAGCTCTAAGCATCTATTGTCTTTCATCTAGAACATTCCACACCACCCCACTCCACCCCTCTTCCTGCCATAGACTTACATTTGTGGTCTTTTTGTAATAGTCTATATTGTTGATATCTCTGGCCAGTCCAAAGTCTGCTATTTTCATCACATTGTTTTCTGTTACCAAAACATTTCTGGCTGCTAAATCTCGATGAATACACTGAAATGGAGAAAGAACACATTTCAAAATGCTTCAAGAATCAAAAGGAAACATACTTCTTATAATGCCATCAGAAAATACATCTTAAGTCGAAAACTGGTACTTCTTTTCTAATTACAAATAAATTAAAAAACCAGAGCTCCAGTCATTCCATATTCTTCTTTATTTGCAGTTGACCAACACCACTGGCATCCTTCATACGAGGTCTGTGTTGGATAATCCTAAAATCTTTTATCTCAACACTTGTTCTCCTGCCCTCTACAGCCCAACTTTCAGAAGAGCTGGTTGAACTCCAGCATCACTCCTTCACCTCCTGGTGACTCCTCAAACGCTGCAACCTGTATCTACCCCTCCCTCTCCTAAAGTTCATCAAGAACCTTCTGTCAGACCCAAACGACCTTTCCTAACACCTCATTTTTTCCTCTCTGCAGTTCTGAACACTGTTAATTTCTTGCTCATTTTTGAAAACTGTCCCACCACTGAGTTCTACCGCATCCCTTCTCTTGGCTCACTCTCTCCCTCTCTCCCCACCCTCTCAGATTCCTTGGCTAGCTCTTCTCTTCCTCTATCCCTCAAAATAGAGGAATTGTCCCATTAATTTCATATATTTCCATTCACCCTCATAGCTTCAATTCTTAGATACATACAAAAGATTTGCAAAGTCCTCTCTCTATGCTGACCTCTCTCCTGGGACCCATGTTCTCATTTTCAACAGGCTATGGGACATTTCCACATTGGCATCCCTTTGGCACCTCAAATTCAAGGTCTTTACTTCCCTAATTTTTATCCTCTTGGTCTCTCTCAGGCAGAAGTATACACCAGAATTCTTTACATACTCCTCCCAAGTTCTGTTGATTTCAACCCCCAAAAACCCCCTCCAACTGTCCACGCTGCTCTGTTCCCACTGCTAACTGCTTAGTCCAGGATGTCATCACTGTCCCCACCCAGCCAGTCCTGCAGACGGCCACACTCCCTGCCTAACAGGTCTCCAGGCTTCCAGACTCAGCCCCACTTTGTCTTCTACACTTGCCATGAACTGTGTATCTGAGAACCAACCATGTCCTTTCCTGGCTTATATCACAGCCAATGCCTGTCCATCCACAGTCTCAGGCCAGTCCTAGCACGACACCTGGCCCACAGAAGGCTTGCCTCGCCCTGTGTCTGCCACACACACGGGGGCTAGAGGCTCAGATGCCCCCCACAGGACAGCTCATCTGTAGTCCTAACACCAACTCTTTGGTCTCAGAAAGGTCTAGTTATTATCACTTCTGTCTTTCCTCTTCACAAAGGATATGCTTTTGTAAGCCAGTCTAAGTATTTTTGTTGCATTTTAATATACCAAGATTTTATCATGCTCCATCGTAATTAGTGTCCCAAATCATCACCCCCTGTTTTTGAAAGAGGTAAGGTATAAAGAAGCAAGCAAACATCCCTAGGCACACACTGGTACACAGGTTCCTGGCAAAGGTCACTATCACATGAAGGAGAGAGTCCTAGGCATCCATCGACAAGGAGACGCGTGGCTGATTTTAGAGAGGCCCTCCACAAAATGAGAGGGGAGCCAAACACTCGCAGAAGAATAAGTTAGTAATTTTTTTCCTGCCCACCCCCCAACTATTCCTTGTTTTCCTATGCTCCTGCGGCCCCCTGGATGGGCCAAGAACAGAAGTGGGAAAGCAGGAAAGCCCCACAGCAGGCCTGTGCCTGGCCAAACTGGAAGCAGGAAATTCGAGAGCTCCCAGAAACTGCCCAGGGACTGGCCGGGGCGGGAGCCGCGTTCCCCGGTTTTGGAGGCCTTTTCAAATTGAACTTCCAAGCCCCGGGCCAAACTCTTCGGCGGTGTGTGCTCCCTGCTGACGCGAGCTCTGTGTCTGGCAAGCCGTGTGGTCAGAAGAATCTGGCTTCTCACGCGCTGTGCTCCGACCACACATCAGGGCTCAGCTCGGACAGATACACAACAGCCACCTCCACCACCTTCTCAGCGAAAGCCAGACTCTAGCACCCCCACCCCACATCCCAGGGTGCCAGGAAAGACCGAAGCGCACCCTCTGGGCTGAACAAGAAGTGACTTGGAACCAACACCCAAGAAAAAGAAAATAATTAAAGTCAAGCCAAATTCCCATCATCAGCAGAAATCTGAGTTCTTCTCCAGCACAGACGGCTGGCCATTTGACATTACAGTCCTGGACTGTTCGGTACGGCATTTCTTTATAGCTGAAGGGCAATGGGTCACCAAGGGAAGAAAGACTAACACCCCTATGACCCAGACAGTGTGCAGGGGGCCTGTGCACAGCTGATCACATTAAATTCCCATGGCAACCTATGAGATGGGTATTATTGTACCCATTTTACAGATGAGGGAGCTGGGGCTTGCTTTAAAAAAACCAAAAACACCAGCTCAGGTTTAACACCCTGGAGGTTTAACTGATAAAAAGAAAAATGAGTGTACTTTGAACCAAAAATAGCAAGGCTTTCAAAACTTGTATAAGGCTCAAATACCCCAATATCTAATTGTATTACTGTATACACCAGGGCGTTTACTTGTCGGCCCCATGCACACACAGGTGCAAGCTGCTGAGGACAGGGTCTGTGTGTTCCTCTCTACATTCCCAGCACGGAGTACAGCCCGACCCAGCAAATGTTTATTGAGCTGAAGTCATCATCACATGCCATCAGCAAGGAGCTAGAGATGTCACTCGACAGCTCCTTTAGTGGGTCTCTAACAAGCTCATCACTACCCACTGAGGGAACGGGTGGGGGAGGCCAGGATCTGATCCTTTCCCTACTTTATTCTCCACCCTCAGGAACAAGCCCTCCATTTTTGGAAGCAGATTCCTCCCAAGGGGACCATTCTTAAGATCTTCATCTACCACTTCAAACTTGTTTTAGGTCCTTAATTGCAGGTGGCTGTCAGCTGGGGTAATGGAGCCCTGCAATGCCCGAAGGAAACACACTCAGGCTGCCCCATCCTGCGTCAGAGACACAGGGCATCTCAGCGGTCCTCCCCTTGGTCCAGGGAGAGGAGGGATTACCTGAGAGCAGGAGACGCTGGGAGTGGGACGAGTGGATGGAAAACCAAAAGGCCACATCTTGGACCAGCCACTTCACTCTGTAGACCTGTAAGTCCCCACCTCGGAAACGAGGACGGTGACTCAGACACATCTGGGCTCAAAGCTTTCCTGGCACTTCCTAACAGTCCTCAGCATCCTTATCCATGAGACAGGGATATAATCACACCTATTTCAGAGTTGTGCTGAGGTTACGGACAATACTGTATGTAAAATGCTTGCCCCGTGCCTGGCAGACCTTAAGCTCTCAAAAAGTGGTAGTGATTAGTAATAACGAAAACTGTCATCACAACTATTAATAAAAGTATTTTCAGTCTGTCATTCTAAAACGTATTCATTCACCCTGTTTTGCAAAGTTCATCTGATTCTTAGTTCTTTCTCCACCATGTGGAGCAGCTCCAAGACAGGCAGGCTCTCAGTGCCCTCAGGGCTGGGGCACACTGAGGGGACCATCACTGGCTCCAGGAGCCAGATCCACCGCCCTCTCTTGTCTCCTCATTCTGAGCAGAATGACACACAGCCGAGCACTCCCGTCTTCCCGAAGCTTCTCTGTGAACCGCATCCTGGGTTTCCTCCTGTCTCTCTGAGCGTGTGTCAGCCTCTACTGCCACTTCCTGCGCTTTTGGCCAATCTCCAGATGTGAGAGTTTTCTTGGGGTTTGACTGCCTGCTTCTATTTCCCCTCGTCTCTGCCTACTCCCCCACCATGTCCTCATCCATGGCTTGAAATTACACCTTCCTTTGCAGGCGCCCAGGGTGTAGCCCAGCTCTCAGAGCTGAGCTGCAGCCTGCAGCTTCCTGGTCCACGCCTGCCCCTGAATGACTCTCAGACATATTCAAAGTGCCCCTTGATTTGCCACCAAAATCTGTTCCCTTCATCTTCTCCCCCAACCTCCTCCCAAAGTCTTACTCATTCTGGTAAACCACATCATCAGCCAACTTCTCAAGCTGGAAATCCTTGATCCTTCTTTCTCTTCCTCCCATATCTAATCAATCCATTAACTATCCCGACAGCAAAATATATCCAAGATCAATCTACCTCTCGAGTCTCTCTGCAGCCAATAACTCTGGCCCAAACCACCACTGCCCTTCACAGGGCTCAGCGCTTCCAACCCATCGTGTGATCGGCTGCAAGAGCGATCCCTAGAGCACAAACCTGATCACCTGACTCCCCTCCGTGGCTTCCCAACATGCCGAGGGTGTGGTCCAGAGTCCTTGCTGGGCCTGCAGGGCCCTGAAGAAGCAGGGCTTGCCTGTCTCCGGCCACATCTCACTCTCTCCTCTCCACATGCCGTTTCCCTCCCTAGAATCTCTGCACAGCTGGTCCCTGTGCCCACCTGCCACCTCCCCTCCCTAAGCGCCCCAATCACCACTGCTCCTGACCCATACTATTTCCTCCACAGCATGCTTCTCAGCTTCTCACATACTTATTTTTATTTCCACATTTACTCTTGATCTCTTCTGCTGTCACCCATGGTTCCTGCTCCAAGAGGTCAAAGACTACGTCCATCCCGGCCACCTCAACTTAGGGCAGGGGCATTGGAATAAGGAATGCTCAGGAATCTTCATTAAAGGATTAATAAAATGACCAGGCCAGCCTCCTACCACTTTTGTATTAGTAGCAGCACCCTGCCGAGTCCAAAAGATGCTTCCCCCTCTCTCACAGAGGGAGGGCAGAGCGACCGAGACCAGAGGGTCACAACAGGTGGCCTGCAGACAGGCCACACTCTGCAGTGTTTTATTTAAGAACATTTCAGTTACAGGAAAGGTGAAATAGGACAATGGATGTCCCTATTTGCCAGATTCACAGGTTATGCTTATTTGCTCTTTTCTCCACACCTAACCTCCCCATAAAGACAAATGTGTGCACATACTGTCTATGCCTAAATCATTTAAGAGTGAGTTGCAGACCTCAGTGACACTTCACATCTAAATACTTGAGCACATATCGCCTACCTTAACACAATACCACTATCATCACTCCCCAAATTTAACACTGATACAGTCATATTATCTAATACACACATACCTCATTTTATTGTGCTTTTTTTTCTTTAAACAGACTGACAGTTTGTGGCAATCCTGTATTGAGCAAAGTCTATTGGCACTATTTTTCCAACAGCATTTCAAACTTTTTCATCATTATTATGTATGTTATGGTGACTTGTGATAAGCAATCTTTGATGTTACTATTATCGTTGTTATGGGGCACCAAGAACCGTGCCCTTATAAGACAGCGAACTCAATCTCTAAGTGTTCTGTGTTCTCACTGCTCCTCCATCTCTCTCTCTCCGCTTGGCCTCCCCTCTTCCCTGAGACACAACAGTATTGAAATTAGGCCAATTAATAACCCTACAGTGGTTTCTAAGTGTTCAAGCGAAAGCAAGAGTCACATGGCTCTCACTTTAAATCAAAAGCTAGAAACGACTAAGCTTAGTGAGGAAGGCACGTCAAAAGCCAAGACAGGCCAAAAGCTAGGCCTCTCGTGCCAAACAGTTAGTCAAGTTGTGACTGCAAAAGAAAAGTTCTTGAAGGAAATTAAAAGTGCTACTCCATTGAACACACGAATGATAAGACAGTGAAACAGCCTTACTGCTGACATGGAGAAAGTTTTATTTAGGGTCTGGATAGAAATCAAACCAGCCACAACGTTCCCTGAAGCCAAAGCCTAATCCAGAGCAAGGCCCTAACTCTCTTCAATTCTATGAAGGCTGAGAGAGGAGAGGAGGCTGCAGAAGAGAAGTGTGATGCTAGAAGAGGTTGGCTCATGAGGTGTGAGGAAAGAAGCCGTCTCCATAAGATAAAAGAGCAAAGTGAAGCAGCAGGTGCTGATGCAGAAGCTGCGGCAAGTTCTCCGGAAGAGCCAGCTAAGATAACTCATGAAGGCAGCTACACCAAACAACAGATTTTCAGTATAGAGGAAGCAGCCTTCTTTTGGGAGAAGCAGCCATCTAGGACTTTCCCAGCTAGAGAGGAGAAGTCAATGCCTGGGTCCAAAGCTTCAAAGGACGGGCTGACTCTCTTGTTAGGGGCTAACGTAGCTGGTGACTTTAAATTGAAGCCACTTCTCATTGAGCATTCCGAAAATCCCAGGGCCCTTAAGAATGATGCTAAATCTACTCTGCCTGTGCTCTGTAAAGGGAACAACAAAGCCTGGATGACAGCACATCTGTCTACAACATGGTTTACTAAACATTTTAAGCCCACTGTTGAGACCTAGTGCTTAGAAAAAAAGATTCCTTTCAAAATATTACACTTATTGACAATGCACCTGGTCACTCAAAAGATCTGATGGAGATGTACGATGAGATTAATGTTTTCATGCCTGCTAACACAACCACCATTCTGCAGTCCATGGATCAAGGAGTAATTTGTACTTTCAAGTCCTATTATGTAAGAAAGACATTTCAGAAGGCTATAGCTGCCATAGATAGTGATTCCTCTGATGGATCTGGGCAAAGTCAATTGAAAACCTTCTGGAAAGGACAAGAACATTCATAGTTCATGGGAACAGGCCAAAATACCAACACTGACGGGCATTTGGAAGAAGCTGATTCCAACCCTCATGGATGACTTTGAGGGTTCAAGACTTCAGTGGAGGAAGTAACTGGAGATGTGGTAGAAACAGCAAGAGAACTAGCATTAGAAGAGGAGCCCGAAGATGTGACTGAGCCACTGCCATCTCATCATCAAACTTAGATGAGGAGTTGCTTCTTACGGAGGAGCAAAGAAAGGGGTTTCTTGAGATAGAATCTACTTCCGGTGAAGATGCTGTGAAAATTACTGAAATGACAACAAAGAATTTAGAATATTACATAAACTTAGTTGACAAAGCAGTGGCAGGGTTTGAGGAGCTTAACTCCAATTTTGAAAGAAATTCCATTGCGGATACAATGTGATCAAACAGCATCGCTACAGAAAAATGGTTCATGAAAGGAAGAGTCAATTGATGTGGCAAATTTCATTGTTGTCTTAGTTTAAGAAATTGCCACAGCCACCCCAATCTTCAGCAGCCGCCACCCTGATCAGTGAGCAGCCATCAACATCGAGGCGAGATCCTCCACCAGCAAAAAGGTTATGACTCGCTGAAGGCTCAGATGACGGTTAGCATTTTTTAGCCATAAAGTACTTTTTAATTAAGGTATGTACATTTTTTTAGACATAATGCTATCGCACTTAATAGACTACAGTATAGCATAAACATAACTTTTACACACACCGGGAAACAAAAAACTTCGTGTGACTTGCTTTATTGCAGTATTTGCTTTATTGTGGTGGTCCGGATCTGAACCCGTAATATCTCCGAGATGTGCCTGTATACAGTCCATATTCAAACTTCAATTGTTCATAGATGTCCTTTATGGAAGCCGTCCCCCCACCTCCCAGCCCAAGCAGGACGCAGTCCAGGATCACACATGCACGTTTCATTGCCATATCTCTTAAGCCTCCTTTAATCTGGAACTGTCTTGCCAGCATTTTTGTCTCTCATAACGTTGACATTTTGAAGCAATGTCTTGTCAAATGTCCCACATTCTGGATCTGATTGTTTCCTCATGCCAAACACTTTTCAATTGGCAAACTCCCCTGTGTGTGTGCACATGCCCATCACCGCAGAACTCTAAACTGTGTTTTAGTTTCCTAAAATCTATACCCTTTTTTTTGCAAAGGTTTGCAGGGAGATTTTGGAGGAAAAATATCTGAAAAAGGCTTAAACTCTGGACTCTCTTGAAAATGAAAAACAAAAGAAAACAAAAACAGAACATGTGGTCGCTCTGGCCATGTTCCTATGTGGGTGACCACAGACAACAGGGGCTGAGGCGTAACCACGCCCCCTCGTCCCCACCCCCACATCCCTACACACTGTGTGATGTGACAGGGGCTGCCTCACTCATCGAGGCACTGGCATGGTCACAACCCAGCCCAGGCCCACAGGTGACAGAGGGTCCACACGCACCGGAGGCACTCACTTCTTTGGGGACCTGAGGAATTCCTGGTGCTCCATCAAGCTCCACCACAGGTAGAAACAGACCACACCTCCACCCGAGGAGGTAGGTCGACACCTCCCCCTCCCCGAGTGTGGGCTAAGGAAAGGTGTCCTGGGTCATCCAAAAAGCCCCAGAGGACATCTGGGCACCTGTCTAACTGCTTTCAGAATAACTCAGATGCTTAAAGTTCCATTGCACGTGGCATGCTTGGAATGCAGGCGCTTCACCTCAGGGGCCCTGGCCAACTTGTAACCGCAGTGGGTTACCCCGCCAAAGGAGACAAAATAAACTCAGATAACACCCAGGACTCCATGTTACTAAAATATCCTTTTGCCTGATCTTTCGACTATTTGAAGCCATTTCAAACTCAAAATGTAAACACAACACTCAAAGTCTATGTCCAAAAATTCAATAACCACGAAACGAAGAAAGCCAAAAAATCACCAAAATTAAAGGCAGCGCCCCCTTAACGACCTGCTAAGCTCTTCTCTACCTGGAGAACTGAAACCCAGGAGGGTCACACCCAGCCCTGTCTCAGCAAAGAGGTATCTTTTCTGCTCTCTGCAGTGTCACTGTAGGTTTATGAGGCCACTTTGGCTTTTAAAGAGTTCGTTAAACCCTAATGTGAAGAATGCAGTAAATATTTTCCAAGTTGTCAAAGACACGCAAGGACTTGATTTAGCAAATGAGCATGTCCAAACTGCCTGTTGTCTCCAAAGCCATTTTTAACTGGAAGCCACCCAACCGAGGAGAATGTGAAGGACTCACTTTTTGGGAAGCCAGGTACTCCATGCCTCTGGCCAGCTGGTAGGTGCATGACACCAAGTCTTTGAAAGTCATCTGCTCCTCGGGAACGCGGTTAATGTCATAGGAGTACTCCATCCCAGGCGGCCTCCGGGCTCGGAGGTACTCACGGAGGTTACCCTTCGAGGCATACTCAACTATGACGTAGAGTGGTCCTGTGGATGGAGAAGACAAGCTCACTAAGGCAGCAAACCCAGGATCTGCCTTCAGCCAGTTCAACAAAGAAGTGTTAGTTATTACAACCTAGTATTTTTTCCTGTTATTTAAACATACAGAAAATCATACACAAAAATAAAACACCTACATTCTAATCTCCTCAAAATGATAACCAACACTTGGTCAAGATAGTCTCAAAAGTCTAAGAAATAGAACAGAGACACAGGGAGCATCCTTCCCGTCACTCCCATTTTAACTATTTTACCAAAACATACGTATCAATAAACAATATATTATTTTTAGTCACATAAACAAATAATAAAGATATAGCCCTGAATCATTTTTCCCCTACATATTATCCTTGTGGAAGCCAGTCAGACTGATAAAAATAAACCTAGAGCATTCATTTTTAACAGCTACCTATATTCTATCATACAAATACACCACAGTTTATTGATCTAGCCCGTATACTCATGGGCATTTATGTTGCTTCCAGGTTTGAGTCAAAACAGTGTGCAATGAACATTCCTGCGCACGTCTCCTTAGCCACACATGCAACCACTTCTCTGTGGTACAGACCAGGGGCTGGAGAAGCACAGCCCTCGGGCCAAGTCCTGCCCTCTGCCTGTCTTTGTCATTAGTTTCACTGGCACACGGCCAGGTCCGTATTGTCTGTGGCTACTTTCTCACTACGACAGCAGAGATGCATGGTTACCACCAAGACCATAAGGCCCACAAAACCGAAAACATTCACCATCACCCTTGACAGAAAAAAGGCTCCAGACTGCTGGTATAGACCTAAAAGAGAAATTGCTGAGGCAGAAATATAGGCATTTTCAAGTTTATTAATTATCGTCAAGCTGATTCCCAAAGGGCCAGTGAGCTCTTCAGTGAGAGAACCCAGGGGTCTCTCTCCCCTAAGGAAGATAAGGCGTCCCTTCGTACCACTTTCTCCTTTTTTAAGCTACTCTCAGGAGCCCAGCCACGTGCTGTCCACAGCAGGACACGGCTTCCTCAACCTCTATTTTGTCAACCAAAACATAGTACCCTATTTTGAGAAATCTCTCTTAACACTTATAAAACAAAAACATAAGGAGACTGGTTTTTCCAGACACCCTCCAGGCTATGACCTAAAACCAGCGGGACTCTAAGAGACCCTCATCCAAAGTCACCCAGTGCTCACTTTGGCCCAGTCCCCTATGTATAGTTACAAAGTACCTTTTGTGTTCATGGCTGGGAACATCCTCCTAAGGGAATTTTAAAGAGAACTTTCAACACGCACTTCAGGCGCCCTAGGAGCAAGATCCGAAAGTCCCACCATCTCTAAAATGCTGCTAACATTGAGCCATGGATTATTTGAATGAAAGCATTTTTCCCTCCTACTCACCATCCTGAGTACAGGCTCCAAGGAGATTTATGATGTTTTTGTGTTTTCCAATCATTTTCATCATCTCCATCTCTGACACCAGATCAGAAAGGTCCTTCTCCGTGGCATCATCTACGAGCATTAGGTAAATTAAAAATCAGTTCGTTTCCTCTAACCCATCAGCTGCCACTGTTAGTTGCTGAAAACTTCGTTGAAACAGCATGAAATTGAATTTTAGAACCAGAAAAGACTTCCCAAATCATCTCCCTCATTTTATTGGTGACGGGGCAAAGGCCCAGACAGGGAATTGCCCTGGTCCGTGTCAAACAGCTAATTTGGGGTCAACAGGGTCAACAGTCAGGACTAGAACATAGGCCTCTGATGCTAAGCCCACTTCTTTTCCAGCAAATCTCACCAACGTGGGGGTATTGTGAAATTATTCCATCCTCTGGCAGATCTAAGGTGCCTGAGAAAACCACATCAAACTTCATGGCGCCCAAAAGCAATGGTGGGGATATCCGGAGAGGAGGTGGCGGCTGTGGGCATCATATCAGCACAGAATTCTCCAGACCCAGGGCCGCAAACCCCAGCCCTTGTAGCCCTTAGAGCATTCCCAGATGGGTTCAGGGGGCACCTGTAACTGTGCACAAAACTGTGTGTGCACATGCATTTTGAGCAGGCAAGGTTCCATGCCTTCTATAGGCTTCTCAAAGTGGGCTGTGATTCTCATCCCCAAAAAATACAAGTTTTATAAACTTCTACTCTAAAATTTCAAGCAAGAATGGCTTTGGTCCTGCAAACATGGGCTCACAGTTAGCTTCTAAAAAGGGAGAAGACTCTTCCCCATGTGCCCCCTTCAAGCTATCTCCATACAGAAAAATCTGGACTTACCAAAAAAAGGGAATAAGGGTATGGATACAAGCCATGTTGCAAAACGCTCTTTAGTTTCACAAAAGGAAGAGCAGTACAATGGACTGGAGTGTAAAGTCTATACTGAGGCACTTGGAGGACCGAGTTCCTACTGTGTGGGAGAGGGGGCACATGAGTGGTCTCACCGCTCAGGGTGTTCTCCCCCAGGCTCTGAGCCCCCTGCTGGCTTTAAAAAGGACACTTCACAAGGGCTCTGGGGCTAATGTCCTTCTCTGTTCTGAGGGAAGGCCAGCCTGGGCATAACCACAGAGACAGATCGCGAGACCTCCCTTTCTGCAATATCCGCAGGTAACCCTGAGCTCATAGCCCAAATCAGAAGGTCCACCATGAGACTCCAAAGTCTGGGCCTTCCTCACACGGCCCAGCACATCTGCCAACAGGAGGGCACACGCGGCAGGCCCAGGCCACGCAGGACACGAGCCAGGTGGCTGTCCCTGTTGGGGGAGCTGAGATGCATGGGGAGAGAGCCCACAGTCCTCCCTGGCATCAAACCTCTAGGTGGGGAGCAGCTCAAAACACCCTAGCTTTCCCTGGGAGTCATTCAGATCAATAGCTAAAAACAATCAACATCTTTTTGACTATTTCCACCCGCGACTTCCCCTCCAGGATGGACATGATGACCGCCCCCACGAGAATGCATGAAATAAAGAAAAAGCGTAACTCCCAGAGCACCTGCAACGTGTCAGGCACCCCACGTCCCAGGAACAGACCACTCTGTTCCGACACGTGGGAAAAACTCAGCTTGGGATGTCCTTTCTCCGATCCCTACAACAGGATTTATAATGTGACCGTTCCCTGTAACTCTTCTCATAAAAGAATACTGCGAGAAAAAGAAGTTAATGGTTAAAAGTTCTTCAAGCTCCCTGGACACAGGCATGAAGCAGGGCTGGAAGGTTAATGCAGAAATAAATGTTCCGACTCCCACAAATGCCACTCAACGTTTATATCTTGGGGTAATTGTTTACATGTTCCAGAAGGTTCTGCCCCAGCGCCAATCCTGGTAGATCCCTTTTAGCTGACTCTCCCAGACCAGTGTCATTTCTGCTTTGTCCCTCTTGCAAAGAGAAGGTGCGGCTTCCTCTCCCTATGCCGCCTTGCTCCCTCCAAAATGCCAATTTTCCTTTATTTTTAAATTAAGGTCTGGGTCTGGAATCCATTGCACCAACACTCATCTAAATCAATCAGTGATCTGCGACTTGATACCTTCTAAGCACAGACAAATATAAAGAAAAGGAAGAATCACAGTGACCCACACGGAGTCGAAGACTAGGTCTAGAAGGCTGCCGCTTCCTAACAAAACCAGCTTTTCTTTTTTATAAGTGCACACAGCTCAAGATAAATAGTCTGTCCAAGATGCTGATTTATACTGAAAACTTCTCAACCCCTGGGTCAACTATGTGATCTCTGACCCCCTGCCATGATAGAGTTCACATGCCACAAAAGGAACATTCTTGATAAGACTTTCCACCCTCCCCCCAGCCTGCCGTATCCCCCCACCCCACTCACCTTTCAACATCTTCACGGCCACAGTGACTGCTTCCTTGGGCTTCTCTTTGTCGATTCCCACTGCTTCAGCCATGACCACTTGCCCAAAGCAACCTTCCCCCAGGGGTTTGCCCAGCGTCAGCCTAAATGTGTAAATAGGGGATTAGCACACGGCATCTGGTGAAGGGGTGTAGCGAGGGAAATTCCAGAACTAAATATAAAAATCTTTCAGCGGCTTGCATAAGCATGGAGCATTTATCATATGGAACTAATGAGACTCGGGGCACACACGCGCTTGAGTATTTTCTTAGTGACGTCTTAGAGAATGTCAATTACTGGTGGAACAGCTATTAAATTTCACATTTGTATTCTCAATTTATTTTCTTTATGGAAGGTATCCTTGCTGGTGAGGTGGTGGGCTTTCCCAAGTGCTAACAACGAGGGGCTTTTGATCTTGAGCCAATCGAATATTCGTAATTGAGAATGTCTCAAAGAAAACATTAAAGCTGTTCGTATTTTTGTCTTTAAAAACCACTGCTATTCAAATACCAATGGATTTTATGGTCACATTCCTGACCAAGTTACATGATATAAACTGTAAACACGTTTCAAGAAATCTCTAATTTTTGAGTAAAGGAAAAAGAAAATTCTAGAAATTGCGGGGAATTTTTTTGACATAACAGTTTAGAAATCCTTATAACTATCCAGAATTAATAATGAAGAAACTCCAGAGTGAACATAAATTAAATTTCTAAACCTAGAAGCTCTAAGTGCATTATATGAATAGTCACATATTGTCCTTGAGCATTCCAGAAACCAACAGAATGGAGAAGTCTTTGGGATACTTATGAATGTGTTTTTTTCACTTAAGCATAATACAGCAAAGTATGGAGCTGCCATTAGTAAACAGTATTTATGGTAAGTACACAATGGTGTGCAAAAGCTAAGCAAAGATTGTGGTCAGTGTATGCTATGCTGAGGTCATTCCACTTCTATCCTGAACTAAAATTAAATTTAATATCTTGGCAGAAAATAAACATTTGCATTGGGAAAAAGGTTAATTGATGTCCTATTGCCCCGCTACTACAAGCATAACAATCCTTTCTTTGTATAACTTCTGCCTCCGATCTAATAAACTGCTTCTAAATAGCCTTCATTCACTGGAAATCTGCTCCACCTACGTTTGTGCTAAAAACCCTGTTTTGAAATGCTTAGTACTCAGATTTTCCGCACTCAGGGTACCCCCGGGTGGGAGCTAACAGTTCGGCACAGACAGACTCCCACTGTTGACTGTTGACTGCGGGTGTCACAGGTGGTAAAAACTACGGACTGAACCTGAGAGCCGCAATTTCTTAAAATATGATCACAGCTCCCCCACTCAGTCCTATATACATAGGAACGTGCACTGGAACCCACGTACTTATATAATCAAACCTGGGAGCTGGGAGGGCTCATGAGAAACACCCACTTTCTCTCTCTACATTCTCCAGGTAAAGAAACCATTCTTTGTGCTTTCCCTTGTGCCTCTCCAATAAATGTTCAGTAAACAAGTCCTGAATGAATGAATGAACGGCCTTTTAACTATACAAATAAGCTGGAAATTACTTCCATTAACACTCTAAAAGAATGATATCTGTCCAATTATTTGGTTCTAACTTACGACGCATATTAATAGCTCTAAATCGGCCGTTGGAAAACAAAACTGGAGTTGTGCGAATCAAAATTCCAAGTGCCGTGTAAGCTGTCTCCCCTTCCCAGTAGAGCTCTTCATAGTCAGCCTTCAGAAGCACTCATCTTTGTATTTCCAAATTTGAGGACAGTTCCTTCTATAGCAACTAAACACTTCTCAACAGAATCTCTGGGAGATACTGCAGATGTCAAGGCAAATAGGCTAGCTGTATATAAGCAAGTCAAGAGTTTATTTCAGTTGATTTGACACAGATGTATAGTCAGGGACTTCTACCCTCCATTACTCTCAAGCTGTTCGGACTCTAATTACTACAAGAGGTTTGCAGAAGTGGGCTGACGGCCCTTCAGTAACCACCATCCTTCAGTTCTGAAGGTGGGTCTGGGGGTTGGTCCCTGCCTAGAAGACGGAGGGCTGGTAGCCCAAGATCCATCCCCCTGTCTATGCCTGGGCACCACTATCTTGCTGAGGCCCATGGTTCAGGGCTCCCAGGTTACCAATACATGAAGGGAAACAAAAGGGAGGGAAACTCACACGAGCCAAGAATTGTGCTCAGTCCTGGGAGGTTTGTACCGTGACTTTCATTTTACAGTAATGAAGTTCAGAGCATCAGGAAACTCACGCAAGGTTTCCCAGCCACCGGCTGGCAAAGCCAGGATTCAAATCCAGCCCAACAGAGACCAAAGTACATGGGCTTGAAGCCAGACCAAGAAATAAATAGCTCCCAGCAACGCCCTCACCAGAGCCCAGGTGGCCACACTTTGACTGGACATCTGATCGGACACCTCTACGTCACCCAATAAGGAAAATATTATGGGCCACACGAAATTCGATGTCAGGACCATATTCAAAGCTTTTCTGCCCAATATTACATGAATAACCATTAAAAACAGCAACACTGAGTGGAGATTCTTAAGGTAATTTATATTCTATCCTAATTTCTCCAAAGAAATGAACCACTCAACAGTCATGTTCTAATAACCAGAAGTAGGAATGTCAGATCTGTTTTTCAAATGGGATAATTCCACTTGTATTCCATTTGACTGGGTTTGAATTGTCTGGGGGGGGGGGGGGGGAAGCTGACGAGGTACCATCTTGTTTGGGGACCACCTATGGCTTAGGAGTTCTGTTTTAAAACAACTATAAAAAGAGAGAGAGAGAGAAAGACAATCAATTCTTTTCTTTTCCAAGAGCTGGTTATTTAGAAATACAATCTCACTCACTCCTATTGACATCATCCAAGCAAGAGCTCTGCAGTTAAGGGTCATAAAAAGAAAATGTCAATCCAATATTCCTATTTAGACCTAAGCCTCCACCCAGGGATGTGCCCAACAGGAAGTACTCACTTATCTCTCGGAAACTCCCATTTGGGATCTTCTGGCAGTTCATACTCGGAGACCCCCGCCAGCATGGGGGTGTCTGCTGTCGAGGAGAGGCGCGTTGTTATCCTCACCAGTGGGGTGTTGGAGTTCATGGAGGAGCTGGACTCGGCAGAAACCTGGATACAAAATGCAAAGACACAGATGTAATCCTGGCTCCACCTGAGAAGACTGGGAGCCGGCCAGAGCCCAGCCAGAGGGTCAACTCTTAAAAAGAAAGAAAGGTGGAGGTCGACCAAACCCATGAATTTAGGACCAAATCCACTGGATGCCAACTCCTCCGTCTTCCAATCTATGCAGTACTAGATTTCATCTAAATTGTATGTTCCTAAAACCAGGTTTTCAAACAACAGTCTCAGACAGTGCCTTATCAAAACGTAAGTCTTCTTTCTGTCCTAATTCCTCAAGACAGTTGCTTGAGGACACGGAGACAGGCTTCATTATTGCCTTTTTCCTGTACCTGTACCAGAGCCCCAGATGATCCATCTTCCCGTTGACCAGCTCAGATCATGTATTAACACTGTGCTTATGAAATTCCATAAAAACGTATGGACAATCAGCTCTTCAATATTTTTTCTGTCTTTTGAAATGTAAACCAGAATATCCCAAGGAACTTGCTTTAGGATTTGAATGTGAGAGCAGCAAGTGCCTTTATTCAAAGGAGCCTGAGACCCAGGCACCTGGGGCCATTCTCTGCTTCTCCCCAGCCCTACTGGAAATTGGCTGATGTCCGGGCCATTCGGTGAAAATTGACTGCCTCTCGTCAACTTCAGCTTCAGAAACCAGTGGACTGAACATGTGGGACCAAAGAGTCAAATACATCTTTCTTCCTAATCACAGGGGGAGCTCCTCTCCCACCTAGGAGGGCGCAAGGCTTCACCACGTTTCCTTATTTTCCCTTGCCCATTTTAGTCTGCGTCTGATAAAACGGTTATTTCTTAACTATAACGTCTTCTCTTTGCTGGTGTCTGTGAATGAAAACGTGTGCAGAGCCCACTTGAAGGGCACTGCTGAGGATTACTGCTCAGTCACGGGCTGCTGGATACCACCTTCTTCTAAACCATAAACAAGACTTTGGCCCGAGAGAGTAGGAATATGGGGTTAAACAGGACCCATCGAAGCAGCCCACCCACCACCTCCGTTCTGCCCCCTGCACGACTGCCCAGGTTAACCATACTCCCCGGCTGTGCTTACAAACATCTTTTCAATCAGGGAGGCGAAGACCGAGCATAGACGAACAAATTTCACGGGGATGAACTTTTACAGTGGGGAGCTTGGATCATTCCCACAGGGAACCAGAGACCTATACTTCCCAGGGGACGTCCTGTTCAATAAGCCTTGATTCTTTCCTTCGTAAATCCAGATTGCCCTCAATGCAGTTTCTGGGAAACCCGAGAAGATGCCCAGGAATAGACTGAGGGGGGAAAAAATCACTTTAGGAATAGGAAGCTGGGAAAAAATCATTTTGGGAATAGGAGGTTGGTTTCTGTATTAAATCAAGAAATAGGCAATTTTTAACAGAATTTCTATTATCTTTTCAAATGTACATGAGTACATTTCTGAGCCTTCTGAGCAGTCTTTGCCAGAAGGAGTTATTCCTAACTTTTACTATGCAGATAGTATGAGCAATGTTTATTCATTGTGAACATCAAACAAAAAATTTTTTAAAAAGAAACTGAAGATAATTTTGGAGCTGAGAGAGGTATCATGGACATGTTAGGCTCCAAGAGGCTGACGCCTCACAGCCAAGTGTCCGGCCGCACAGGCAAATGGCAGAAACACGGAGGAAGAGACGAGAACGTAAATGCGTAAACTCCTATGGAATTCACCTCTGTACCCGACTGATGACACGGACTAGGAGGGACCCCACCCTGGCCAAACAGCAACAACTTCAAAGACCTCTGCATAGACTCCACGTGGGGCCCAATTCACTGTAGTGTGCTGACCGCAGGGACCCATCAGAAACCAGGATCTTTCAGAACATTATCCAGGTCTCCACGAACCACATGAACACCATGAGCTCCATCCACAGAGAAGGGCTCAAGAAGATTCAAGAATGGGTCTGGCCAAAGATACTTCCCCAAATCCTAATGTCTGGCATCAGGGCCCTATGCTATGGATGCAAAAGGAGGCTGGTATTTACAAAGACAAAAACCTGGAAGGTTCTCCCACAGGAGGAGGCAAAAGTCACCACTCATTGCAATGAGAAATTGTGCTCGAAGATCACTGGTGAGATTTAGGAAACCAGTGAAAGCCAGCATCCCAGCGAGACATATAAGGCCCCAGGGGCCAAGATGCGGCAGATTCCGCAGTCAGAACACCCCCTGTAAGGCCAGCAGCGGAGACCACCTCCACTGGCCTCTCAGGGCTCCCGGAATCCCACGATCCGTGCGTGGAGGACCCCACAGGGAGAGGAGGAGGCACCCACAGGGAACCAACAGGGGCACAGTTCTGGGTGAGGAGGCACGCCCCTCATCCCTGCCTTGTCCTCACAAATCACTGCTCTCATCAGTGAGCTGACAGAATTCGATGTGCGAAAGCAGCCTTCCCACGGTGAGGTGTGAGAACCAGGATTTAAAAAAAGTTTTGGGAAGGAACATAAGCGCCTTAGCAGGGGTCACCTTTGGGGAGTGCGATTAGGAGTTGAGGGAGGAGGCAGAAAAAAATCTGATTTCAGAACTTTCCAAACCATTTGCATTTCATCATCATGAAAATGTATCTCTTTTACGCTCTAGAAAAAGCACTTTCTCTGACAATAAAAATATTTTTTAGAATCATAAGGATCTGAACTGTGCATATCTCAGAAGGAAAAGAAAACAAAGGGCATAGGCTTCAAATACACTCTCTTCTAAAATGAGCTCAATGATGAAATCATGGCTTTCGCCCCTTCCCTGTGCTACCAGGCTGAGTATTGCAGCATCTCTGCATCCTTCCATGTGGGTACCCCAGTAACTGCCCCCAGCCATGCAGCCAACCCTAGTGAGTGCCCTTCCTTTGCCAACTGTTTATGACACGGGACCCCTCATTGGGCGGCGGCATCCTGACCAACGGCACCAGTGTGAGGCTGTGTGATCTGACTTTCGGGGTCCATGGCCCAGTTCAGGCACCGGCTAACTGTGAGAGCTTCAGGAAGTCACCTAACCTTCCCAAACTTGAGTTAAAAGGAGACAGCAACAGTTCCCACCCTACTGAGCTACTGGGAGGGTGAACCGGTAAAGCACTCACTGCTCAGCCGGAAACCTGCTAAGAGCTCAGGTATCATCTGCTACCCACACCACCATCGTTTCTCTTAGCGCCTCTTTTTAGAATCATTTGCTGCCCAGATCCAAGGGAGCTTATGATTGGCACCTTCTCTGGGGAACCCAAAGCATTTGGAGCCTCCCGTTTTTCTGTGTGTGAGATGCTGTCACACTGTGTGCAATGGGAAGAAAGCAAGCCCGCTGGCATTAGGGGCTGACTGCAGAACAGCATCTGCTTTACTGGTCTGGAAGGTGAGACCCTCTGCTTCCAGCCAGCAGGGCTGGGGCTCCAGGGAGCAGAAGAGCAAACTCAAGAAATAAAGGATCCAGGAGTCAGGGGCGTTCCCAGGGCAGGAGGAAAGCTGGAACATAAAAGCGTCCTCATGACAAATATGGCTTAGAGGCTGCTGAGGAACAGAACAACGTTAGACAGAAGTTAACTGTTCTGCAGCGGACCTAGGACCAAAAGGAACCTTCGCCCACAAACCTCTGGCAAAAGTTCACATTCATACACGCCTCCCCCTCCAAACCATTGTTTCAACAAGGTTTCAAAGCAAAAGCTTTTAAAATGGAAAACCTTTACAAACTTGGTTGCTGTCATTACTAGTAAAATCAAAAAATTGTCTTTACAAAAAGGATTGCTTATGGAAATTTTGTTGAGATTAGTATAGAGGTTTAGAGTCAATGTACAGATCTGGAAAATACTTCTGTAAAGACCACAGAGGAAAAAAAGGTAAGAAAATGCCAAAAGTATAAGAACTACAAAGGTCCATTGCTCTGTCTACAGAGGTATATCTAAATTTTACCTCCACGCATTTTTACTATGCTTTTAACACCCCCTCTGGGACTGTAAAATGCGACTGGCTTTCCCTTCACTCCGTTTTACTCCAAGAGCTAACATGTTTCCAGGGCTTGACACGATCCCCCCCAGGCGATTCCTCCTGAACACCAAGTTTCCCTGGGTCTTCCTTCGCCCAGATCCCACCCCTCCAGCAACTGCCACTGCCCACCTTCGAGTCCTTGCACTAATTCAGCACTATCAAATTACCACCCCCCCACCCCACACAACAAAATCATAATCTTCCCTATCAGATATTCTTTTTCAATTCTGAGGTTTCTTTTTTTATCTAATTCAAAAATATTCCACTGATAGTGGTGATTATGTTCGTTATTTATAAAATAAATGCTAACGCTCTAAATAAACTGTCTTCCACTCCCAAACCCTGGTGGGCACTTTTTAGTGTGTCTTTTCAGTCTCCAATTCAGCTTCCTCACTTTCCAGAATCTCTTTACCGAGCATCATAAATCAAGCTTTTAACTAACTGTGCCTTCTGTATATTTCCACAATACATACGGGAGATTAATCACGGACGTGGTTTTACTTCCTTTCTTTTTAAAGGGCCACCAAGAAATGGTGTTCTCTCTTTATACCAGATTAGACTGAACAACCAGGGGAACTCAGAAAAGCAGGCAAAAGCAAAGATGCCAGGGGAGAGTGGTGAATATTTGAGTGTTTACTCCTGAGGACTCACAAACACCCCTGGGACCACGGCCCGCCAGAGAAACCCTCTGACTCTCAGGCTGTGGATCCATGCTCCCAAACCAGGACAGAAGGTTCCGGAGTTCATATACTTTCGCTGTAAGCCCTGCCCACCACCCCCTGATGGCCGAACAAAAGCCTTTCACCACCTCAACCCAGGTGGCTGAGATAAAAGGTTCCAGGGGTTGGACTTTTTTTTTCCTTCCATAACAAAATTTAGGTAATTCCACGAGACAGTTTATCCAGCACTCGCTCTTCTCTCTTACCAAGTCTCCGCCCCCCTGTATCCTCTCCCCAGGACTCGATGAGTAAACCTATAACAGGAACAGCTCACCAGTCCCGGACGGGCTGGTTCTTCTTACAAGATCGCATCAGCCAAATGCAAGTCAGATCTTAGTCACACTGCCCGTCCTTTGGAGGCTGAAAAGAGAGGACGGCTAGATGGAGGCTGCGGAGGGAGGGGCACCCACACGAAAGGGCAGATTCCAGTTAAGCCAACCATGACCACTCTAATTACCCAAATGTTTTCGGGAACCAGTGAGGTTTCATTAGACCACTTGATTGACCAAAATACAGAGAATGTTCCGAGATCATGCTGTTTAGCTGCTAGGTAGTAAATGAGCGTCTAGAAGCAGAACTTCCCTTCCCAGAATTTGGTGTGTTCAATAACCATTAACACATGGCCCCCAGAGCTGGCTCCTGAATCCCATCCCACCCCCATCTCCGTCCTGTTCATCACATCCCTGGGAACATGCCATTTGTCCCAAGATACTGTTACACAACACGACCTTGACTGCCCCTCATTTTTCTCTAGTTTTCAATCTACCTGTATCAGCAACCAAGCGAGTGAAACTAAAGACCGAAAAAAAAAAATAGCCCACAGCCCCTTCTGAGATGCCGATGGTGGTGGGAAAGAGTGGGCGCTGCACACCCATGTGAGTCTCCCCACCCTATCTGTTTATGGAGACGGTTAAATCTTCATGCTGCCCTATGGAAACTTCTGGCTCCGGAGAAAGAACCTGATGCATTCACTTTCTGAAAAACCGATTCAATAAACCGAGCTACACCACAAGCCTCCTGAACAGACATCCTCGGTTTCCTATGCACCCCTCACCCTCACCACTCAAGTGATTTGTGCAAAACCCAGAAAGTGAAGCCCTCTCATTAACTCATGGATGTGCAAAGGCCACTTCACAATGGCCACGCTGTCCACTGGCAACCCTGGAGACCTGTATGAGAGCGGACAAGCTCACAAAGACGCTTGACCGACCAACACCCCAGGACCACATCCAGCCAGAGAAACTTCTGACTCTTGCTAGGCTGGGCTGGTTCTTGCTGGTCCCCTTTAACATGGTGGATGCCCAAGGAGCAGGAGCAGGTGAGCAGTGTCTGGGCCAGTGTCCTGCCCGGAAACTGAATGTGGGGTGAGCCGTCAAGGGCAACAGAGAGACGCCATGTGCCACCCACCTTCCCCCACCAAAAAGTTGTTTCTCTTTTCTCAAGCATCACAACATATACAGAGTCTCAAAAAATTCAAGGTTACTGAGAAATGATCACTCACAAAGAATTTCTTCTTAGGTGCTGGAGAAAAACCTTTTTGTCTCAAAAAAAATAAACTGAAATGTCTGTCTTACACTGGTAAGTCTAGTACAGATTAATAAATGTCAAGAAGGAAAAACTCACAATAGGCTGAAAAAAAACAAAAAAAAAGCTTTTCTTGTTCTAAAAAGAGAACAATGACTGAGTTGAGTGAAATGCTATGTGTGTATGTGTGTTGGGGGAGGGGTGAGGGTCAGGGCCAAGACGATAGAATTCGGACTCCATCCTGAAGACACTGAGTGCTACCTGTGCGACAGAGGAGGCTGGGCAAACGCAGCACGAAAAGTGGCCTCATAAATGCCGAGGAACAACCCATCCTTAAGACAACTGATTACAGGCTCACCTGTCGCCAGGTAAAGGCATGCTTGGCATCCCTGTGGTATTTTCTCTGTCATCAACCTATCTGCCGGCCTTTCTGGGACTTTTCATTCTAGCTACAGTCCAGTAACTCCCTTTTATCCAGATACCTGATAGGCATCTCCTCCACCGAAGGGGCATGCTTGCTGACGAAGTGCTCTTTGCGAAATGAGCATCTGTGAAATGCATCCCATTTTGACATATAAGAGGAGCTGAGGAGTGTCGACATGCCCCCAAATAGTTTTATTTTTTCCAGGGGACTAGCATTTGCCCACTTTCCCTGCTTCTGTTAGGCTACTTGACCCTCCTGAAACACAAGGCAATCACATTTCAAATGAAGGTCCCCCAAAAACCTTGGAGCCATTGGTGAAGGAGACAGGCCATGCAACCTGGGTTAGATCAAGCACTCAGAAAAATCACGATGAAGGAAGGAAGGAGAGAGGGAGAAAAAAGGAGAAACGACTCTAAATAAAAGAAGAGCACTGCCACAGTTGCAGAAAAAAAGATGACAAAATAATGACGGAACAATGGTCTAGCTACATCAAATTACAGGTTTCCCCCAGAAGGTAGCATTTTTCCCTATTTAAAAAAATAATAATAGAGATGGAAACATCAGTCCCTTTTTCAACTCCCTGAGGTCAGGTCCTCGGGTGGTGGCTGTAAGAATGGCCCAGAGGTAACTGGTAAGGAGGGAGGGTGGGGGAGGGGTGGCTATGCCATCTGAAGGTCACTGAAGGCATCATCTGGCTATGTCAGGCAAGTGGCTTCCCTGGCCCCAAGAATGACAGTGGTGTCATTTTAAAAACAGCAGCATTCTTGGTGGCACGACTGACCCAATGGGCAGCTTTTTTCCCTTGCTCTTAACACAGTGCAGGTGTTCGCCTGTGCTTAACACACACTCCAAGTGGTATCCTCAGACTCCATGAAGAAATACCTGCTGGAAACCTGGCTTCAAACACGTCAACAAGGACCCAATCAGCCCAGAGTTTGGAGCTGGGTTGAGAACAGCAAGATCTATGCCAAAACTGCCGCTGACCAACTGGTTCCTAATCCTTCCTAATGCCTTGTCCAGAAAGAGTCATCACCACCTAAAGTCCCAGGAGGGGCAGGGCTGAGATTAACCCAGGGTTTCTCCAAGTGCATTTCAGAATCACCCAAAGTCTTACTTACAATGCAGATTCCTGGCCCCATTCAAGACAGACTGAACCAGAGTCTCTGGGGCAGAGACCAAGAAATCTGCAATTTTAACAAGCACCCCATAAATTCTACTAAAATACACACTGCAATAGAGCCACTGAGTTAGCCATTGTACTTGCTGTTTCAAAAAATGCCTTTATCAGAACCAAGTTCCAAATACTTCTGTAAACACTTTGCATTCACACCTGCCTTCCCTTTCCATCTTCGTGAACATAAAGGAAAGAGTCGAAGCGTTTCCTGGCCCACTCAGCTGTGCAGGACTTCGGTTGAAGGCAGATGTGTAGGCTCTACCTTCTCTTATCTCCCCAAAGCAAAATTAACCACAGACAAGCAAAAAGTTACCACCAAAGACCAAGCACGAGGTTAAAAACAAGCTATTGCTTATTCAGCATGAAAATCATCCCACCACAGAACCCACAGCCACACTTGTGAACTGCTAACAATAACGTAATATGTGCATACAACTCTACCTTCAGAATCAGAGAGGTGGAGCCAAAATTCAACTTAGAAAGACACCACGGGCCAGTTTTAAATCAAGTAGTAGTTCAGATTCACCTCTGGGACAAAGGTTTCTGACCTTGAATTAAAAAAAATAAGTCAGAGAACCAGAGTCTTTTCCTTTCCAAATAGTGGCATAAGTCTATCTCAAAAAAGCATGAGATCACAAGGAAGAAAAGTGGCCTGTGCCTCGAAGAGACTGCTGCACTTGAGTCTCAAACACACAAGGGTATCGCCTCCCTGTGTTATTTCCAGTCCTGCTGATCAGCTCTCTGATCCTCACACCACCATGCTTTCATGCCCTTGGAATTTGATTCAGTTGCCCCCATTGACACACCAGGACTTGACTCTCCAAATTCTAAACACTAATTGGACAGCGACCAAGAGGCACATGGGAAGCTCTCAGAAGTAATGGCCTCGAAGCAGAGGAAAAGACCCAAGAGCTGGCTGGGGCAAGGGGAGGAGTAAATTTCTTCAAACTCTTTATCTACTTTCTGTTACCTGTCTCCGCAAGGGGATGCGCTTGGTCAGCTTGTGCACAGCCGGCTGGCTGCTGAAGTCTGGCTTCTTGGTCGTGGTCTTCATTCGGCACAGGATGACCGTCACCACCATACAGGCAATTAAGAAGACCCCTATGCAGTAAATGGCTATCTCCAGGTAGTCTGGGGAAGCTGTAATCTCCTTTTCTCTTACGGGAGCTAGATTGCAGATCACAAGGAGGAACAGATAAGCAGGCCACAGAGTTAGGAAACTGGATTGATGCATCCTGGCATAACTAAAGGAATCAAAGGGAGACAACCGTTCCCAAGGATGGGCTTCCTGGGAACTCAATGCTGCAGAATGGCATGGTCCACGGCCCTGCCACGCACCTCTCCTGAGAACAGGTGAATAACCAAAGGCTCCTCGCTTTAGCACCAGGGCCTGGGGGGTCACTATCTCTGGCCTCAGTGGGCCTCACTATCAACCCAGTGATAGATCAGCTCAGGCTATCAGGCCACATTCTGTTAGACATTTGGGCAGAATAGGACAGTCAACTGTACACACAACAAAAAAACTGTCTTCCATGATGGTCTCTAAAAATTCTAAAATATGAACGATGGCCACTTTTGTTTCTGGAGGGACAGTGACAATGCCTCAGTCTTATCTGAGGAGGCTCTTGCAAAGGAACATGTGATACGGTGATTCCCCAGATGAAGACAGTTCCATTCGATAGGAAATAAATATTCATCTAGTAGGCTGTTGTGAAAAAGTTTCAAATTCCTTAATAAAGTCCAGCATATTATTCAACTAAACAAATTCATTTAATAGAAAAACTGAATTGCTGATAATATAGAATCATTATGTCCACACTACAAAAAGTTTGCAATATTCCTTAATCAATAGCCATGTCAATTTTTGTGTATCCGGTTACAGTGATGTTACAAATTTCCTCTTAAAGAAAATATAGAAATGGTATTGAATGTGAGTATACATATAATTACTTAATTTAGCACATTCTTATATCAACTCCCAATAGTGTCTGCTCCCCCCTTAGTCCTCAATGGTCAATTTACAAGCAGTGTATTTCCAAGTAGTATTTTTCTCAAACTGCATCCTTAGTTAACGTGCTATTCCTTCAGGCAAACTGGTTAAGAAGTGCCAACTAGGCACCTGCAGAATGCAGTACTGTAAGTAAAAGCAAGCTCAACATAAGAGGCATCTCATTGTTTCAAAGCAAATATTCACAGAGCAGATTCACAACAAAAGGAAAAATGGATGCAATGCTATTATTTAAAGCTTATACATTTTAATCAGAAAAATACTTGCAAGATAGTCAAAACTCTCAGCAGCACAGCACACGATGAAATGATCAATTTATTTTTACTAGGTATAAAATAAGCATGCAGGTAGGCACCATACTCTAAAAATAAGGCATTAATAACTGGAGTGGAACATCGTGAGCTAGCAAACCATTGTCTATGCAGTTTCACAAAGGAAATGACCAAGAGGCAGATACGGCACAGTAGGGAGTGATTATCAGGAAAGTTCGGGATAGAGATGTCAGTTAAAGATTCAGAGAGTAGCAATATTTAGGCAATAGGGCTTCACGGATGTTGATTTCTCTGCAGGGCAGAAATAACATCAAGCCCAAGACGGCAGGAGCATGCTTTGCAGTAAAAGCAAACTGAGTCCCTCCTATTGCACCATGCAGCAAGCCACCGATTCCCAGGCAGGTAACACACTGCTTCTGTACGTCCTGCGTTCAGAGGTGCTTCTCCCCAGGCACCTCGACATTCATTCATCTATTTACATCTCGTTGAAAACAGAAAGTGGAACAAAAGTACATATGGGATTTTAGCAAAATGGCATTTGAAATGAAAAAAAATTACTTTGAATTTTCCAAAGTAATTTCAACTTCTTCCTTAAGAGAAGTGGGGATGGGCAAATTTATATATTGACTCAATGCGCCTCACTAAAAATATAAGATCCCTTTGGGTTTTTAGGGTGAAATTTCACTGGATCATAAATGCAGGTGTGGGATCTCATTGTAAGTGAATTTCCAAGGCAACTTTCTTATCCCTGGGGGATAATTTCAAACATTTTTTAAAAATCTTTATGCAAGGATAAAAGGGGCCATTTCTGAGAACAGAAGCTGTGTTAATTTTATAGCAATCAACCAAGAAAAGGAAAAAAACCATGGAGAGAAAGAGCAGTATATACCTGGCAGAACTGTCAACCATGCAGAGTGAAAGGAGATCCCAATAGAATTACCCGCCAAGCACGTATATTCCCCAGCATCCTCAAAAGTTACATTCCGAATATAGAGAACCTCAATCTCTTTGTCCGTGGTATTAACACCGGCGGCCTAGAAAACAAGGGAAGCAAGAGAGAAGGCTAGACAACAAGGAATGATTGTGGAGGGGGCCATGGAACCACGAGGCGTCACACCAGGCGCTCCAGCAGGGGCTGGCCACCAGAAGATTCCGATTGCAACCCATCCACAAAGCCCACAACCGAGACATCGAGCGACACTGAGCAGCTCACCTCCACAGGCCCGTCACCACACCGGCTTCACCACCTAGACATGCATGCAATCAAACACATGGAAAAATCAACCCACAGGGATCCAGTCTTTTGGCCTTTGCTTTGGATTTAAGGGGTGGTTTTCCAAAAGGATAGCACCCAAGAAGCTATGTTGGGTTCTGGTTCTGTTGGCTGCAGAGTCCCATCTTGAGCCAAGGATGGTACTGCCTAAATTGTTGTGTTGTAAAAGAAAACCTTGCAGATAAGCCCAAGTGGATCCCCGGCATCTCCTTCCAGCTCTGTGGGAACCAAGTGGGATGGAAGGTCATGTTGGTTACCAGGCTCTGGTTATTTTTACCCCTGCATAACCATCTTGGCTTACATTGCATTGAAAGAAAATGGAAGAAAGTATGATCTTGGTAGCGAAGAAACTGAGCTTTTTTTCCTTCTTCAATATAAACATTTGAATGTGAGTCAGGATAAACTAAGAAAGTCAACTTGCTGCCTTCAATAGCATCCAGCAGTACATTCATTCAGTAAGATGGACAACCCTCAAACTTGGGATGGCAAGGCCAAGGACAGTATCTCCTAACTCTTAGTTCTACAACCAAGGAAATGACGCTTTGTTGGACAAATGCTATCATGCCAACATTTCTCTAAAAATTTGGGGCAGAAGGAGGTATGAATTCCGTTGATATACAAATGCCACCAATTCACTAGGCATGCAGGTGTGTGTCTAAAATGGTGTTTAAGGGCAGTAATGATGGGAAATGTGCAGCCCAAACAAGATAAACCAGAAGGAACAACTTAAAAACTGGGTGGGGGTGGAGGGGAATCTTTAGAAGAAATTAGAGGAATCACTTTGAACATTGTGGGCATTTTTCCATGGCTGCTGGCATCCTACCAGCTGCATCACCAAAGAAAGATGATTATGAATATACCAAAGCCACAGAGTCATCCTATAAGCTGCCTGCAGTCTCCCAAAGCACCAAGTCTTTCAGCTTCTATATCCAGCCTTCGTTTAAAAAAACAAAAAAACAAAAACGTTGTTACCTTGCTGTTTTGGCAGGACAGTGAGCCAGGCAGACTGGTTGGCCTGCCCTATATAATTGGAGACCTTACATATATACTCCCCAGCATCCGCCTCAGTCACATTGAACAGAGCCAGCACTTCTGCATTGGAACTATTTATCCCCGAGTGCTGGAACAGACACAGGAGAACAATGTAACAGCCAACCAACCGGGAAGGACTTTGCACTGTCTAGGGTCCCACCACCAACACACCCACAAAAAAACAACCTCCATCACATCTAAACAGCAGCATTAAAGGGCTGTGGGTTTAGAAAGAACAAAATAAGTCAACTGGTGCACAGTGGAAGTGACCCGGTGCTCTTGAGAGGGTGGAAGTGTGTGATCAATATCTAGCCGAATGGGTTAGCAGTACCCCAGGATGGTCACCTTCGTCCAGCTGTTTTGATCCTTGGTATTCTCAGCTGGAGAGAACACCTCGCTGGTTAAGAGTTCTTGGTTCAGCCGCCTATGGTTCTACAGAAAGGCTGCTGTTATTAAGGACATTCTCTACCGGCAACTAAATGGGGCAGGCATGGTAGGCAGCGAGTGGTTAAGAAGTGCACAGACTTAGCTGCCACTTGCTATCACCATCCTGAAGAGCAAGACAAATCTAAAAAATAAAGAGGCTGATGCTATTAAAACAGGGACTTGCAAGAAACCAAATAAGAAATATAAGAAGAAAGTTTCCGGTTCAACACTTCACTAGCACAGAAGCATTTTCTAAAGTTTATTGTCTAAACTGCGTGTGAGTGAATCTCAAAGATTAAGGAATTTCTCTTAAAAGGAAAATTTAAACTGTTTCTAAAAAGTGGCTACTAAAATTCGACCCTAACGTCATAGTAAGAGAAAACAGCAGCAGCGTAACAGTCAACACTGGCACAATGCCTGGAGCTTACACAGCTCCTTCCATCTACTCCATCCCATTTATTCTGCCCAACCGCCCCGTAGGGGAGATATCATCCTGGTTCCCACTTTTACAGATGTGCGGCTATGCCTGAACGTCTCCTCTAAGATCTCAGAGCTGATAAACAGCTGAACTATTCTGACTCTAACTTTAGGGGTCCTTCCACTGCCTCAAAGCTCCCTTCTGAAATTTTATTAGCAAGCCTAATGATCTACTGATTCTCCAAACGCACTCTGTACTGACCAGTCAAATGGGAGAATCACCTTCTCTCAAATTCAACAGGAAATCAAAGCACCTGTGGCCAGACCCATCAGGGAGACCCCGGTTGTGGGTACCTTCAGATTCAGAAAGTCCTCACCTTCAGAACTTTGAGGTAGGGCAGCCCGTCGGGCCCGTATTTACTGCCGTTCTTTTCCACATGTTTGATCCACTGGATGTGGGGCTGGGCATCGCTGTAAACTTTGCAGACAAACTCCACATCGCCTCCCACCACGGTGGAGGCATTTGCTGGCAGTCCAGCTTGGAGGATGGGCCGGTGTGGTGATCGCTCTGATGGAGAGAGGGGAGAAAGGGGGATCGGGGATGCGAGGAGGAGAAAGGAATAAATAAGTTGTGTTGTCCAGAAGGCTGTTCATGAACTCAAGCCAAAAAGGCCTCAAGTCTGCTGGCTGACTCCTTTGAAATAACACCGAGGCCCAATGCATAACAAAAACAACTTCAAAGAGACTGCTGGAGTGCGACCCTTGTAAAAAGAATACTTATTTAGAAAACTGGGAAAAGAACTTATTATATCTCAAGTTATTGGTTGCCCATGGCCACCTAATGAACAAAGGAAGAGATTTTATTTTGACAATCTCAAAGACAAATGTCAGGGGAATGGGTGCTCCTTCAATTATTCCATTTGGGATCATATCGGAAACTCACCTTGCCCATAGCTTAACATCACAGGTAAGTGACAAGACTAACTTTAAGGTCACCCTGAATACCAAAATCCTCCTACACACAGTGCCTCCCGATACACTTCTAAGATGCTCTAAGAAGACTTCCATCTCTTGTTTTATAAAGAAAATAAACTAAAAGCTAAAGCCCAAAGTTATGAATAGATCAAATGAACAACTAGTTTCATCTCTTTAGCATGGATTTACTCCATTCATTCATCGTTCCATTCATCCATTCATTTCCTTGATAAATATTGTGTTACTGTGTGCCACACGGGAGATGCACAAGTAGACATTCCTTAGCTTATTCAGATGTGGCACTGAAAGAAACAAAGTGCCACTGCTTCGCAAACCCTAGTCATGGTGTAGACTGTCTTAGGGAGGCCCCACAGAGGGTATGCTTGCAATTACTCCCCGCTCTCACTTGTCTTGCCTTTCTCTCTCGGGAAAAAGTTCTCAACAAACGACACCCCCTCTTGTCTCATCCCTGGAAAGGTTCCTCTCCAGTTCAGAGGCGGTCTCTGCAGAAATCTTTAGAGGCAACTATGTCAAAGTGTGTGGAATCTACACACAAGGGTCCTCAAGAATCAAGTAACAGACCAGCCTACTGTGTGATTTTGTCCACAAAGGCACTATAAAAACAAACGGACCAGAACCTTCCTACATGGCAGCTCAGTCAAAAGCCACCCATATCCAGACACCTGTCCATTCGGTTATCGCCCCATCCCCACATGTACCAGCCATCCTCCCCGTCTCCCTCTGCAGACTGTGGAGACCACTGCCTTTAACCTCCAGCTTAAAAAGTTGCCAAGGGAAATAACAAGATCCCAACCAGCCCAACACACCAAGGATGTCTCCACACTGCACCTGCGTAGCCCGTGCACTGGGCTGGAAACAGCAAACCAGAAGGATAGATACCTACGTCTTTCCATATTTGGGCCTTGCAGATTAAAATGTCATTATGTGGAATTTGTTGGTCAAGAGCCAGACCATGTGCAAATTGATTTTACTGCATAAGCCTGTTGCTGGTCTTTAAAAACATTTTTAAAAAAACAAAGAAAAAGTGCTAGTGGTTACTCTTAGCACATTTCATTCCAGAATCTCCCATCACTTCACAGACACCTAGATTTACATAGCAAAAAGATGTGGATTTCAGAGCCCCCAAAGAAGTCATTCATTTGTCCCAATATCATCTACATAGGCTGAGCAAAAAACCCAGAAGTCAAGACTGCTACTTTTTGTGGGCAGAAAATCTCAAAGCTGGGATCCCTTCAAACATCACCAGAAATCCTCACTCTTTGGCTGATACATCATCCCAGCGATGGGCCGCAGCAAGCCTCCTGGGCAGGCCTGGCAGCCAGCTGGATGCTACAGGGACCCGCTTGCAGCTGGCAGGGATGGAGATCTGGTTTAACCCCAGCTGGCCCCATCCACATGAGAAGAACAGAGTTAAGTCCACACACTCTCCTCACCAGGCCTCCTCTCAAGAGATCGAGTGTGAGGGGAGCTGTCCTCTGGGCTGGATACTGCCAGCCAAGCACACAAAATACGCCCCTTTGTACTGATCAAATATTGAAGTGGTTTACTCCTGCCCATAGAAAAGTGAATTTTAGGTATCAATTCATTCTCTGGCTCAGTTTTCCAGTTTTACGCTCAAGCGTTTGTGTGTTCAAAGATAAATATTTAGAGTGGACCTAAATATTTATTCTTAGAAACAAAGGTACTATAAAATCTTAAATGTCATAAGCCAGATCAACGGAATTTCAAACCAAGTCCTCTTTCTTAAACATACTTGTTTCTATAAATCGTTTCACAAGCAAACATTGTGCATGTAATACCAAATAACGATGCCCCGTGAACAATGAGTGCTTTCATACAGCCCCACATCTCTGGCCTGCGCCAGCCTTCAGCAGAGAATTTAGTCACTGGGGCAACACTGGCAAGACCCGCTGCGGAGCTGCAGTCCTGTTTCACTTGTGGTCAACGTGCTGCTGAGCTCCAGTTATTAAGTTATTCCACGGCTATCCGGACTATTTTCACACACAGGCACAAAAATCTTTGCAATGGTTTAATGTTATTGCATTTGCAAATTACGGCATACCAAACGTTACCCGCTTGCACTCTTGAATTCATCCTTTCAAATTTTCTCACCTTATACAAAAAAACCTCTTAACCTCCCCGACTCCCCCTCGGCCCTCTCTCACTTTGGGTACAAAAACTGCAGGCGAGATCGCTCTGTAATCGAAACCTTACACCGTCTTCCAAAACTTATTACAGCTGCCTTCAGTATAAAATGAAACCTTAGAGAATGTTATTTAAAATGTTTTTAAAAAGTCAGTAGGCCTCATGTTTCGTTTCTCCACATCAGGCTTTGATTTCCTTTGCAACCTTATTCTCTGCCCTTAAACAAGTTGGAGAACGAGGCCTGAAACATCTTGGAAGAGGTCCCGGGATGCCAGCATCTGCAGAGCATGGCGCTCCCCCGTCACACCCTTCAGCCATCACTCTGCCCTTAGTGTCCGTCAGACCCTTAAGAACAGTGATCAGTAGGTAAGGGGGACGACAGCACTTGGACTCCTCTTGTAACTTCTGAAAAGTTGGGGTGAAAGCAGGGCGCAGACAGCAGCCGGGGGAGCAGGCTGGGTGGCACTCCTGCAGAGACAGGCAGAGCGGGTGGCCGGGCCCAGGGTCCACTTGGGAAGCACTGCAGGAAGATGGTGGGCACAGTGATGACCAAGACCCTCCAATGGCTAATGTGCTCTCCCCGGAACCCCTCCAGGACCTGGGCAAACCAAACCCCTCGGTTTGCAACGTTTTGGGCAGCAAGCTAATATAAACTGAATTGGTCAATGAATTATCTCTGGATGAGAGAATAAAACCCGAGCTTGGCCCATCTCTTGTTCTTCTAGGTGACAACAAAACTCACATCTTCTCCACCAGGGAAGATTTACAGTTTTAGGCCACGTTCTCTTACAGCATGATTAACTTGCAGATATTATACAAAACAGATCTTCCTCTTTATAGAGGGAGTAAAACAAATACACAGAAAACAGAACAACTGACAAGCAGTTCACCTCTGCGTCTTTACTGCAATTTTTTAAAATATATATTCTCAATGCAGCAGGTTGCAGATGTACAGTACACAGACCTGAAACAGGATGAGAACCTTTAAAACAGCAATTCTAAGGTCCCTGTGTGAATTCCAAATTAAGACAGAGTGGAAAGGAGTCCAAAGGGTGCGGCAGCTGCCGACGGGACAGTTGGCTGCACTGCTGGAATGAGCTTCCACCAAATAAATGTGTAGTAAACACAGGCTGAAGTGCTCTAAAAAAGACATTCTCTCCCCCATGTTTTCTCTGTCTCTCTCTCCCTCCCTTTTGTCAAGTGCTCCACATGAGTCCACTTTACTAAAGCAGAAGGCCCGGCTGCTAGGACTCTAAATATCAGGACTGACTCCCCCCAAACCCTGGCCTGAAGCTGGGAGCCACAAGCACGAGGGCAGGGGGAAAACAGCCTGCTCCATTCCAAGGGGTAATTATTGAGAACCAGAGAGAGAGAGAGAGAAAATACCTGAGTGACAAAGAATAAATCTCTGTTAATTGACCATTGAAACCTTATAACATGCCAGTCCTCCTCTGGACATAATAATATGTTTGCTCATAAGAGATCTACAACTTTTGCTCCGACACAGCAAAAGCTATAAAAAAAGGTCCACCAAGCAGAGAGGCCTCATGTCGACAGGCTCAGTAAATACGCATCTCGGGATCAGAAGGAGAACCAGCTTCTTAAATTACACCTATAAATTAATCAAGCCCAGAGTAGCTGGTTTCCCAGCACCCACTGGTTTTCTAAGTATTTCTCCCCAAAAGTTAAGCAGTGCCTGCCGCAAAGAACCATTTCAAAACCGCTCTCTGGCAGCAAAACACCAAGAGACTCGAATCACGCTGAGTGCCTGGGAGTGATCTGGACGCGGCCAGTCCCCTGCTCCCGGACGCACATTCACGTCAGGAGCCGAGAGAACCCTGCCTGCCTGTCTTTAAATTAAAATCAAAATTTAATTACCCTTCCTCTAAAATGGAGTTTCTTAGCAACTCCAAGGGGCTGAATAGGGAAAGAACATTCTGCGATTGGGAAGACAAGGGAAAACAACCGAGAAGTCTTGTTTCTAAAGCCCAGCCTAGCTTTTTTCTAAAGAGGAGGCGGTGGTTGCTTTTGTTGCATAAAAACGCACTAAACCAGTTAGCATGGGGCATGGTTATTAGGGGAGGCCGATCAAAGCCTTTCTGAAGTCTGAGGAGCCCAACAACCTGCTAAAGACCTCACGCTAATTACCATTAGTGGAATGAGTTCATTGCCTTGTCAGGACTCCGCCTAATGCACTCAAACCAGACAGGCTCAATCCAGTTGGCTTCTGAGTTGAGTTTTCCCGAAGCTTGCTCCAGCCTCTGGAGACTGGCACAAAAGGAAGTCAGAACTAAAAATGACCAGTGGGAAAAGGTAAGGTTAGGATATAGGTTGAGAAGAAGCAGTATCCTTTCAGAAAGAATCAAGGTACCCATGGCCACTATTTTGGCCTGACATCTTCTAGAACAGACTAGTGGGGCCTGGGAT